TTTGATCGCGAATTACATTTTCCATCGGACGTGAATAATCTTCTTCTGAATGTCTATCTTGAGGTAAACCTCGAGTAGGAGCCAAACCATCATATATATCTCCTGTTCCTCCACTTTGAGTCGTAAGCGTGCCAGGGGAAGACTGACCCTTGGATGCCAAACTGCCTGGATCACAAGAGTCCGTGACAATTTTTCTGCTTTCAGAACACCCCAATTGTTTATTGGTGCTTAAACTACTGCATAACATTGGCTCAACCATCTCTCTCTCTTCCAAATGTTCCGACTCTTTTTGGGAATGGCTTGTGAAATTGTTTGCTGGGCTTTCAGTAATAAGTGTCTGCAAGGCATCATCATTCCCCGCGTTTGAATATTTTACATTCAGTTGATGGCCAGAATCTAATTCTGCATTCCTATTTTCATCCGAATGTGGTACTGCAGAAAATCCTTCCACCATTTCACTTGAGTGTTGTTGTTCCTGGTTAGTACTGCAATCAGATTTATCACAGGCCTCCATACTTTATAATTCCTGAACAATACGTATACTTGATCTGTAAAGCAAAAACAAAACAGTCGATCATTTTGGTGAATGTATTATAAGGATAAAAAAAGCACGATTAAAAATATTGTGTTTAAAACTTTAAAATTAAAGTTTAGGAATAATCTTAATTTTAGGAATAATATTCTCGCATTTTCAGATTTAAATTGAATGCCATTAACACTACACCAAGCAGACCACGTAATAAAAATCTATCTCCTTTATATTTTGTCAATTAAATGCATTTACAAGGCAGTGAATACGTTTAAGTGGAAACACGCCACACGTGCCAGATGACATGGGACCAGGGGTGTCAAACACACGGCCCGCGAGCTGGACACAGCCGCCCAAGCCCCTTCCTCCGGCCCGCTACGTCTTTACATTTGTAAGACTTTATATATTTTCTACTTATATATATTTTTCAGTTTCTACCCAAATTTCAACTTTAATGTAAAGCAGATATTGAAATGGAGGATTTGGCCATGTCCTGCCACAAAAAAATAAATCAACTCTTTCCCTGCGCTTTAGAATTTTGAATCTGTAAATTAATACCATATTATTATTTAAATTTTCATAGGCCCAACTGTGTGGCCCGTGGGAGGTGCATTTTAATACAAACTGGCCCGCTGTCTGTTCGAATATGACACCCCCTGTATTGAAATCAAAACTCTATAGCCCCTTATCAATCCACTGCTAGACTGAGGTCTCCTAGGCTGTCCGTCGTGTTGATCAGTGTTCGGTTTGGCAAACGGAACATCTAAACCGTTGTTTACAATCGAGAAACAATTTCGTTTGTTAAAAAGTGGAAGTCACTGAATAATGCACAAATAAAACAGGAGGCGACTCGGATTTGGAAAAGTTATCTTGTTTAATGGAAGGCCAGTGAATGACAGTAGAGAATAATTCCCATATATAGTTTTCACTTGGTTTAGACTGTCAGCGTTCTGTCCTGGTAACAATATTAACGCCAAAGGGGCATTAGCTATTGTACTATAATTGCGAGAAATGCAGGGATTAGTGTTAATATTATTGCACTTAGGGGCCGTTCATAAATGACGTCACACACCTCGGGGGGGGGGGGGTTCAGACATTTGTGACGCTGTGTGACGAGGGGGGGAGGGAGGGGTTTGAAAAATGTGACGTCACGTAAAAATGCGCAACTTTATAAATAAATATAAACAATAGCATTGTTATAACAACACTAATTTTGATACATTTTCATTAACTATTTGATTATTTCAATTTACTTAGGTCACCTTTTATTTATTCCATGAAGGAGCATTTTGCTTCTCCATGGGAGAATGGAGAAGCATACATTTTGTATTTTTTTTTAATGATTGTTATTAAACATTTTGATATTAATGATTCTACCAGGGCTTTTCATTGTGGAATGTGATTGTCATAATTGTACTCTCCATTTTGCTTCGTTCTACTACAAAGTTTCAAGTAGTTTTTTATAGTTATAGTTCATTTTAATATTTTATAATTGTAAGAGAATTTCAATATATTCTGAACATCTGCAGTTTTAGTTAGACGTTGAATATTTTCAAATGCATTTTATGCTAAATTTCAGCTCTCCAATGCCTCCTTTTTAATAGAAAACATCAGAGTGCAGTGCCACATTAAATACGCACTACAATGACAATAGTTTAAAGTGATTTGAAGCATGTTTTATTTTCAAAATGGAAATACTGTATGGTTTGGGGGGGGGGAGGCAGAGCTTTGTGACGTCATATTTGAGGGAGGTCTGACTTTTTGTGACGCCGTGTGACCGAAACTGAATTTCTGGTTTTGGCCAAAACCGAAAGTAAAAAATTGACTTTCGGCCGAAACAAAAACTATGCCGAAAGAGGCCATTTGCCAACTTTCGATGCCGAAACCGAATTTCGGTCGGCCTCTAGACGCGTCACAGACTCGCACGAACACCCAAGCCCCTTCCTGCTGTGTGGAACCCATGTGGTGGAGGAGGAGGTGGGGTGGGAGGGTTGAATTGGATCATTGGAGGGGTGGGAGGGTTGAATTGGATCATTGGAGGGGTGGGTGGTTTGGTGTGTGTGTGGCTGGTGGGCGGATGAGTGTGCGCGCGCGTATGCACACTGTTGGTATCAGCACGCTGCTATAATGTGCTCAGTGTGCTGTGCGTGCCTCGAGCTGCCTGTGAGAGCCCAGCCTCTGAGACGCTCAAACAAAAGTGTTCCTGGTGGACTGCTGCTGCGTGTGCTGGCTACGCGTGTGCTGCTTGCTGCTGCTCGCTAGTTTGGTGGTTTTGGGGGGGGGGGAGTTATTTTTTTCTTATTCTTCTCCGTCGTCTGTCTTATCCCCCCCACCACCACCACCACACCCCTCTCACCCCCATCCTTGCTTGAGTGTGCGTGTGTGCGCTGCTTGCGATCGCCGGAGAGTGAGGAGCGTCTGCCATCAACCACCGCCGCTGCTACTGCCCGGAGTCGCATGCAGCGCGTGGAGTTTAGAGGCCGACCGAAACTGAATTTCTGGTATCGGCCGAAAACGAAACCAGAACGAAAGTCAAAAAATTACTTTCGGCCGAAATCGAAACTATGCCAAAAGAGGGCATTTGCCAACTTTCGGCGCTGTAACCGAATTTCGGTCGGCCTCTAGGAGGGGGGGTCAACAATCAGCCAAAATCGCGTGACGTCATTTATGGACCGTCCCTTATTTACCCAGGAGAGCTCACAAAGAGTCCAAACTTTTTTTCTGAAGTTCCTGAAATGTTTTTTTCAGTAAAACTTACATAAGAACACGATATTATTCAGATGTATATTACCTGTACATTACATTGTAATATTGCATATCAGCATCTTTAGACTGAAGGAATCCGATGAGCTATGAATCTCATTTTCACCGGTGTCCAGTAAAGGGGCGGATCAGAAAGCCATTAAGATGAATGGAGCCAAATTTGCATTCATGAAACAGGAAAACCCAATGAGCACAATCACGGATATTCAAACGAGTCGCAGCCAGGAGGGCCTGGGATGGGAGATCGTGACAGCAGTGACCGCTGAACAGGCGAAGTTGTATTCCTGCACCAGGTTCAACAAATACGCAACTCCAATTACCCGACCAGTCTGGCTAAGATGCTCGCTGTGTGGGGATGCTCGCTGTTCCGAGGGTGTGTTTTGTAGCCAGCTCAGAACGTCAGAACGCGACACACAAGGACGGCCGCAAAGTGCAAGCGGGAGACCTGGCTCATAACAATGAGCGAGGCGCCACGTGAACTATTACACTTTATTTATTATTATTTTACCAGGTAAGGGCCCACCGAGATATGTAGCTCATTTTCAGACACGACCTGGCTTTCACAAATGATAGCTCAGTGAAGTGGCTCATCATCATCATGTATACATTGAAAGCAGCAGCCGAATACGCTAAACGCGTGACGTCGATTCTAAATGGAGGGAAAATACCGAAGGACCTGGGAAAAAAATCCACGCGACCACGGGGAGAGAGACGCAAACTCCAAATATACAGCAGCAGCAGCAGGCGTCAGGGTCGGGATCGAACCCACGACCTCCTGCACACCCGGCGAGGGAGTTGACATCTCCCAGCCACCGTGACGCCCATATGACCCCTGACCCCCGGCGCGTGAGTCGCGCTGGGCCCGTGACGCAGCGCGGGGAGTCGCTGAGCTCACGGCCCGGCAGAGCTCCCCCACATCCACGCTGCGTGTCTTAAGGCGAGTGCACAGCTGTATCCACCTGCTGCTGCTGCTGCTTCTCGTCACTGCACGAAGCGTCACTCCGGCTCGGTCACTCCTTCGGGTGGCTCAGTCACTCCTCCGACTCGGCCGCCCCTCCGGCTCGGTCACCCCTCCGTCTCGGTCACCCCTCCGTCTCGGTCACCCCTCCGTCTCGGTCGCCCCTCCGTCTCGGCCACCCCACCGAGTCGCGTTCACGCCGCGTGGTTGTGAAGCTCGCGGCTGAGCGCGGAACCGGAGGGAGGGGGCTGCCGCGTGGGGGGGCGCCATTGCCCCGGAAGTGTAGATCGACCACGTGCCGCGCGCCCGCGCGGCCTGTACCCGTGACGAGCGCCCGCGCGGCCTGTCACTGTGACTGAGCGCCCGCGCGCCTGTCACGTGACGAGCGCCCCGCGCCTGTCACGTGACGAGCGCCCGCGCGCCTGTCACGTGACGAGCGCCCGCGCGCCTGTCACGTGACGAGCGCCCGCGCGCCTGTCACGTGACGAGCGCCCGCGCGCCTGTCACGTGACGAGCGCCCGCGCGCCTGTCACGTGACGAGCGCCCGCGCGCCTGTCACGTGACGAGCGCCCGCGCGCCTGTCACGTGACGAGCGCCCGCGCGCCTCTCACGTGACGAGCGCCCGCGCGCCTCTCACGTGACGAGCGCCCGCGCGCCTGTCACGTGACGAGCGCCCGCGCGCCTCTCACGTGACGAGGCGCCCGCGCGCCTGTCACGTGACGGGCGCCCGCGCGCCTGTCACGTGACGGGCGCCCGCGCGCCTGTCACGTGACGAGCGCCCGCGCGCCTGTCACGTGAGGGGAGGCCGTCACCAAGGGAAGGGCGCGCCGCCATCTTGCCAAGTTCAACTGTCATCGCGATAACAATGCAGCAGCCACGTGACTAGAACAACAACAACAACAATGTTGAATACGAAAAATATGTAACAATATAATAAACGCAATAGGGATTATTCATAAATAATAATGCCATACTAAAATAATACGGTAATTGATCCCTTCTGGCCTCTAATGTGCTGTGAAAGGGCCTTTGCCCGAAACATCGCCGATTATATAACTTTTTTACTTTTCAGACACTTGTTATTTTGACAGTTTGTTTTGGGTTTTTTTTGTGAAGTTCAATGCCGATTTAGGGTTTTAAATTAATTTGGAGTCTGAAAAAGAGCTTCATAGCTCATCGGATTCCTCCAGGATAAATGTCGATGTTGATTAACATTCTGGTTCCAACATTGAAATGGTGTTCCCCGATACTGTATTGGTGATCCCTCGCTCGTCATGAACACAATGATCACGCCATCCCGAACATCACCACGTCGTACCCCTTAGTGCCTATCTTATTGCAGACCAATTCAGCCCTTATTGATCACCCCGTGCCCTTATAAATGTAAACGTTTATTCTCCAAAGTTCCATCACGAGGGAGAAACATATACAAAACATTTTCTTTACATTTTTCTGTACAAGAATACGGATAAACCGTTTGGGTTGACAGGTATGCCACGTTGACTCCATCTCCTGCAGACATCACCAACGTGCCATCACGTTTAGGCACTTGTTTTAGACATGGTGCTCTTTTGATTTTTGGCACACCATATGTAGGATGGTCAATAACAGGGAAATTAAAAGTGTGTTCGGAACAATGTAAGGAAACCGAGAGGAAGACCTTAGAGAATGGCTTGATGACGACGATATAAGAGATTGGTGCCATAAATATGTGGCACTACTCGAGCATATTGGCACTACAAGACACGGAAAGGGGAAAAAAATGGCGAGATGTGTGGTGGACACCTCCGGGCTATCTGCCCTTGGACTGTGATGATGGTGTTGCTGTTGATGATTAATATTTTTTAATTATTTGTTCCCAATGTAAGGCAATGACCTTGGAATCCTTGTGCCATACGATATTTGTATTGTCCTGACAATAAACTATCGGAACAATCGCCCGGTCTAGAGCAGTGGTTCTCAACCGGGGGTTACACGGACCCCTGGGGTTCCACGTGGCAATGTCCAAAGGGGTACGTGAGGTGATTTATGAATGTGTGAAATTCTATCATACATGAGAATCGTTAGTGAATAATCACGTATGAATATGGCAATATAAAATAACTACGATAACATTTAAATCCACATGGTAACCTAGAACGATATAAAAGACCTTTCTAAACTCGCTGATAGTAAACAATGCGGGTTTCCAAGAGTAGCCAGAGAGCTCGAACAAATTACATCACTCAACCGCTGATTTTTTTATTCGCTTGCAGTTACTCGCTAGTTAGGATACCTTACAAAATGGACACTAGGTAAAAATATTTACGTTCATTATTCATACATTTATTTCTCAGAATCATGATAGTTCAGGCAAGGGGAGTACTCGGTTGAAAGAAAATTCAACAAGGGGGGTAGAGTAAACAAACAAGGTTGAGAACCACTGCCCTCGAGCATAGACGTAGCCGATTTGGCCCTTTTAAGTCTAAATCACTTTTGTTAGACCTCCTTATTGGATTATACTTCAACTGTGGCTTATTCAGCTTTGTTGTTTGTTTCTTTAGCAGGATAGAAACACAATGGAAGTGTGCGTCGACTCCGTTGAATCTGCCATTAATGCTGAATTGGGAGGTACAATATCATCATGAGCCAGGATATATAATTGACTCATTTCTCAATTGTGACACCTTTGTTGTTTGTGCCTTTTGTTTATTCATGTTTATTTTTGCTTAGTCGCAGCACTCTCATTTGCTTGGCAGTAGTTGTGCTTTTGTATTGTTGTAACGTTCTTACCCCGTGGCCCTACTGGTCATAAGTGAAAAAGAGCTTCATAGCTCATCGGATTCCTCCAGTATAAATGCATATTTTGATTCGGATAGGATGTGGCCCTTATATGTATTTAATGGACAGCGTTATGGGATACAATTAGCATGAATTACGCTAAATAAAATGAAATATTTATTCTAATTATATATCCACTTCTGGATTTAAAAAAATCCTGAAGCAATCACCATCTCTCACAGTCCTGTACATGCTCTTATCTCACAGCTTTGTCGCCTAAGTAGGCGTCCTATTGGGCATGATCCCTCCTTTGGCTACCACTCCGCCGTTAGTGTCAAGTTCTGTTCATTGTCCCTATCCAGCGACATGCCCTAGCCCAAGCTCACTTAACAGCTTGAATGGTGTTATTATAACCTGCGTATGCTGTCTAATCCACATATTTCTTTTTTTTCGCAAAGTGACACTCATTTTACTGACACAGGGCTATGTATTCTGCAATACAGTCTGTTCTATAATGCGGTAGTTGCGTTCCTGAAGAACAATGCATTATGGAAAAATCGCGTGATAATAAATAATATAAAGTAAAGCACAGTCCGTGATAACACGCAAGATGCGTACACAGGCTGAACCAAGACCGAGCCGTGCTAGTAGCATCTGGAAGCATCCAGCAGCATCCTGTTTTGTGCGATACTACGCTGAGGCAGACGTACAACCGCTAATTCCTACTCATGTGACGTAGTTCCGTTCACTCAATTGCGTTATATCCAATTCGCGTTATAAAACATTTTGTTCCCTAATACATTCATCGCATTATATATAAAATTTGCATTATGAAAACACGTGTTATAGGAGAACAGAATGTATATATATCTATCAAAGACAAAGATCCCATGTATAGCCTTAACAGACTGTAGAGACAAGTGCTGTAAGCGAACACCTATGAAGGTCGGCACGGCACATGAGGGGGTGAGTGGCTAGCACCACACCCAACCGTCTTTGTCTCCCCATCGGCGATGTTTACACACCGCACCTATGGGAGACTCAGGACCAGCTCAGATAATTGTCACTGGTGTTGGCCATGAGCAGGAATCGAACTCCTGCCGCCGGGTTCGTTGCAGCAGCCCGCTAACCGCTATCGGTTCCAAAATCACTACCACTCGCCAAGTGTGTCATCACTTGACACTGAGTAATAATTGGCGTTATTACTGCATGGTGGCCTATGTTAGATTAACAAAATGGCACCCTCTGTCTTGATTGTTCAATTGTTATTTTAGTTCTACAAAAAAATTTGATCCTCCATCCCAGAAGGTATTGCCATATGTTCCACATTGTTATGACATGAATGCAGCCCGGTGTCAGTAAAATTATAAACGCCTCACTATAAAAATGCACGCTGCCATACCCTTTGCTAAAAAAAAATATTTACCAATGAGTAGCCTTCTCCATAACTGTTACAATGTGCATGTCCCCCTTATGTGTGTAGCATCTTGAGATGTGGCAACATTCAGACATTCCATCAACAAGAATGTGAATTTGGCTTATAAAATGTCATGTTTAATTGTGTATATGACGCAGGTGCGACACGGATTGAGCTCTGTGCTAATTTGCTGGAAGGTGGGACTACCCCAAGTCTGGGTGAGCTATTTCATATTTGGCTTGTGGGATTTAAATATATGTAATGACCGATAATTGAGGGGGGTAGGGAAAGAGACGAGGCAGGATAGCCATGGACACACAGTTCCGGCGGGGGGGAGTGCGGGCCAAATGTGTGGAGTGGAGGGGGGAGGGAGACGTGATCGAGCGGTGATCGAGCGTGGAGGTGGCAGGGGAGCGGTGAGTGGAAGAGTGTTTGTTAAAAACATAAATGCCAGGGAGGAAAGAAGAATCCGCTGCTGTATTTGGTTATTTTATTGAGAGAAGTTGGACGACCGTCTGTGATCGGAATAAACGTTCACGTTATATTCCCAACGAGAAAGACGGTTTATTACATATGTAATAGGTTGGATTGAGGCGCACACTCATCTTGGAGGCAACACTATTTATTAACACACTAGCGGGAAGTACCTGGCGTTGCCCGGGTTTAAAAAATATTTCAAAACTACTCTTAAAATTCTAACAGCAGTGCGTACTGACTGTGGTGGTACCTGCTATGATTACAGCAGTGCATACCGACTGTGGTGGTACCTGCTATGATTACAGCAGTGCATACTGACTGCGGTGGTACCTGCTATGATTACAGCAGTGCATACTGACTGTGGTGGTACCTGCTGTCACTACAGTAGTACATGCTGACTCTATAGCAGTATTTATCAACTCTATAGCACAAAGTACTCACCTGACAGTGGCGTGGTGAGGCCTAGTCCCGTTCAGAGCCTCCGGCCTCGCCTAGATGGTCCAGCCAGGCCGAGGTGGCACCTTGGCAGGCTGGGGCTGGGCTGCTACCCCTGACTCCCCCCTCCCCCCCAGCCACAATGTCCCCGGCCGCTCTGCAGTAATATCTACGGCCTATAGTGGTAGCATCTACCGACTGTATAGTAGTAATAACTGCACGCATCGGGGTGGGGGGGACATGAGACAGAGAAGAATTTACCTGAGTGTTTAGTGTATTTTTATAAGATTTTTAACGCGAAAGAAAATATCCCCCTCACTCCCACCGAATGCGTGCGACTTGGCATGGGCCGTCCTCCCCACCAAAGGCGCGTGAGTTGGTATGATCGTGCACTCGTCATAAATAATAAATTAAGAAAGCGCACAGAAATCGCACTAAATCGCTAATTAAACTAATTTAAAATTGACGGATGGGAAAAAGGAATAGCGCTTGCTCACCCCACCATTGGAGAGCCAAGCGCACACAACCCCACATACAAAAACCACCACAAACCCACACACAACTTTTGACTTTTATAGAGCTAACATTAACACGGACACTATACATGAGGTGGCGACTACGGTTCCTACTCTCACTAACACTCGGGAGCATTACATAGCGTGACCAAGGCAGGGAGACGACTGCTTGGTCACGAACGGCGATCGGAGACTCAAGGACTTCTTATGGCATCTTGATCCCGGAATAGAACAGCCCGCTCCCCGTTCACACCCTGCTTATAACACCTCTGGCGATGGCCGGCTCCGCCCCAGGCCACTTCCTCCTTCTCGATCCTTCGGGAAGGTCCAGGCCCCCAACTACGTGACCCCCAAGCTTCCCCCTGGGGCCCCTTGGTCCCCCTTTATCTGGTCATGTGTCCTGTTGGGTTCACGCGGAGTGCCACGGCCTGACACGACCCCCGTGACACCTGTCTACAGCCCCCATACCGAGCCGACACAGTAGTGACATCATATGTCTCTACACTCGTACAGTCCCGAATAGTAGTGACGTCATGTCACTCCACATATATATGATGAAATTACCAGTGGGGGGAATGGTAGCTGCAAAGCAGTTAAAGTATTAAATAAATAACTAATTTGTATATAGAGGATTGCATGGAGACAGTAGAGCATTGTTTACAAATATGGAACACTGGACCAAGCACTTTGAAACACTGAGTTTTACAAGACATGGGTCATTGCCCATGTGACTTGAAGTTACAACAGTCACACCTTATACGTCTCTAGCTGTGTCTGAAAGTGGGGAGTGCACCAAATAAAGGATTGAAGAATGTTGTATTAGCCTGGTAAATGCCTTAACTAGGTACCCAGCAATATCTAAATTTAAAGCCGGATAAAGTTTGTTTCACATAATGAGTATCCTGGAAATTGGCCAGTGGTATAAAACGTGTTATGACATATCACGTGTTATATGATGTGTAGGACTCGTACTCCGGTTGTCTTTCTCGTTACGTTTATTCGCACTTTAGAGTTCACACCTTCTCCTCATCACCGCTCCGTGTCTCCCCGTTCGCTCCGTTACACTCTCCGCCATCAACGACACTCTATGTCTCTCCGTTCGCTCTCCTGCTCTCCCAAGGTCCGTTACTCCGCTGCTACCCTACTCTGTATTCCTCAGATGCACTGCTACCACTGCTACCCCACTCTGCGTTCTCTCTCTCCGCTGCTACCGTACTCTGTCCTATCTCTATCCACTGTTACCGTACTCTATCCTATCTCTATCCACTGCTAACCTTATCGTATCTTCTCTACTCACTGCTGCTCCGTCTCTATCCCTGGCACCAACCGCTCCAGCTCCAATCCCAACCAAGACTCCCGTCTCTCCGTTACGCTATCCTTTTATCCCCACACCAATCAGTCCCAATCAATTATCTCACCCCCCGCTTCGCCACTCGCCCCCAGGCCCCCAGCCTCACGTGACCTTGTTATTCCCACCAGAGCGGCGCCGGCCATTAACTACTCACCCTCCTAACCAATCACCGGCCTGCGTCCTCGGTTACCCCTAACACCTGTCGCCCATCTTAACGACGTCTCCCTCACGCCCGACAACAACAACCCCGTCCTCAGATACCCCCCACTGTACACTGCTCGCTTGCATAGCAACAGAACAACAGAACGCGTGGCGCATCATATTTCAAATCCTACAGATGTGTTATGTAAAAAAATAGTGTTGCCTCCAAGTCAAGAGTGCGCCTCAATCGAACCCATTACACATGTAATACTGTAATACATAGTGTATAGCAAATAAAACAAAATAAAGTAGATAAAATAAACTTTGAGTCCTGATGCTGGCTTGCTTGTCAGAAGGGGCATTGTACATTATGCCAGATCCTGAAACTCATTACATCTCGCAGAGGATCGCTCTGCCATACAAAATATTTCCACGATTCGGTTCGTAAGTACGGCCGAACGTTCACAAGTCGGATGGTTAAAAATAATAATTATAACATCTTATGGCGGTTCGTTCAAAAGTGTGAATGTTCGTAAGTCGGACATTGGTATCTCAGGGACTGCCTGCAATTTCTACAATTGGTTCTTGTAAATAATATGCTGCATGTTTTGCTAATGGTCTCTTCTTCAGGCCTGCTGCAGGTGGTAAAGCAGCACACACAGCTGCCTGTGTTTATGATGATTCGCCCACGTGGAGGAGACTTCCTCTACTCTGAGCACGAGGTGGAGGTGATGCGTGCGGATATCCAGCAGGCTTGTATTGGAGGAGCTGACGGGATAGTATTTGGAGCCCTCACTGAATCGGGAACCATTCATCACGATATCTGCAGTGAACTACTCTGTGAGTATCGATAAAGCGCCTGCTGTATATGTAGTGAGTCCAACTGAGTCGCAGACGTTGTTCCTTTTAGAGGCAACACATGTATTTGTAACACGTAACACAAAGGGGTAACTGACCCTTCACCAGATACAGCCTAGGATGGTGGCCACCCAGCTAACTACCCTATATAGAGGAGTTACTGCTACGAAGAGTTAGACCCTCACTCGGGTCTGCGACCACGTGTTGATGCCTCATAGGACGTAAAGCTTCCAGCTTGAGACGTAGAGCTTCCAGCTTGTCGAATGTCGCCACCCCGGTCTCTCTCAGGAACCCGCCTTATATCCCCGCACGGGTTGGGGCCACTCTGCCTCTGGCCCCGCCCGCCTTATGGAGCCTTATAGCTCCCCCTCGATCCCTCTCGATAGCTCTCCCTGGACACGTGACCACCTCCTAGTCCCCCCACCTGGAGGCCTCTCTGTGGATACTCTAGATCACGTGTCTGCAGGGTCAACCAGAGTGTCATGGCCCGAGGCAACCCTGCCACTGGGCTGACACTCTCCCGCTCCCCCTCGTGGGAGACTGCACTGCACACTATGCGTCGTGCCTGCGCTATCCCAGCGCTCACCAAGCCCCACTAGGGCTGGTACTACATCCACCACTGGGTGTACACGATGCCAATGCATCGCACGCCATGGCCCTTTCTTGCCGGCACCATACAGTGACATCCCTGATGTCACTACATATCTATAAATTATATGGTCAACATCCAGACAAGGGGATTTAATGCTGAGCCACTCTGATGAGTGAGATACAGCTTTTTAGTTTTAACCTAGAACTTGTGTGATCCATCCATGGTGATCTGTACCCTGGACATTTTGAATAATCAAAATAAGAATCTTTATTTAAGACTGCAAGAGGAACCCGATTAGCTATGCAGTAGGGGCACGGGGTCAACAAGTTACAGCAACAAACAATAAAAAAATAATAAGAGTGCAAAGTAGATAAAAGGTAAGCAAGTCACTGAAAATAAATAAAAAATATTAAATATATAAGTGAAAATTGCATAAGTACATAAATTACTAGGTAGTCATCCAGAGCAGTCTAGTGTAGATGATACTAATGCTAGGACCGCTGTCTCAAGGCACCTGATAGGAAAGAACGTAGCGCCGGCCGGGTAGGGTATGGGTATCAGGTACCTGATTGCGACCTCTGGGATGAAGCCATGTTGCAGGCGCGGGTGGGTTGATTCTAGGAACTTGAATTGTGAGAAGAGACAAGACGTTGGGAAATGAGTGACAAACGGTTACTCACCAGTGACTCACGGTCTACCCGTACCCGTACCCGGCCGCACCAGGGTCGCAAACGGGTACCCGTACCCGGCCGGGTACGGGTAGCCGGGTATCGGGTAGGGTACGGGTATCGGGTACCCGGTTGCGACCTCTGACGCCATGCCTCTCTTGGGCCGGCACCACACAGTGACATCCGTGATGTCACTACAATTGTATGAATAATAAATAATGTAATTGATAAATATATACAATTTTGGTATGTTTCATTATAGTTTAACACGTAGGTTTTCGCGACCAATATCCATAACAGAGGGGGGGTTTTGGATTAGATCACATATAAATGTGTTGTTAAACCGGTCACCACCCGACGCAGACAATTAGTAAGGTTTGTCAAGTTAACAAAACGTGCCAATTCGTGACTAGTTCAGTACACTGGTGTGTTGGACAATAAACCCACGACATTTACAATTCGAGTATGACGTTTCACCGGTAATTACAACTAGCATCAATATAATTTATGTTATAGCTAAACTACATGTTGAGCATTGTTTCTGTGCTGTCTAACACTCCTTGCTTATATTTAAGCTCTTTCACGACCCCTCCCTGCGACATTTCACAGAGGTGAGAAATATAAACATGCTGTAAGCATTGTTTCTGTGCTGTCTAACACTCCTTGCTTATATTTCAGCTCTTTCACGACCTCTCCCTGCGACATTTCACAGAGGTGAGAAATATAAACATGCTGTACGCATTCCTACGCAGTTATTTGTTAATAACAAAAAAGATAAGCGGACAATATATATCCTTCACATATTCACCCCTCCACGAGAAAATTAAGTTTACACTTGTCGTTAACCACAGGGTCTGGGAGTGCATCATTTTAGTAGCATTGAATCGATACAATTATAGTGGTTTCAACTGAGTTGCAGACGTCATCTTTGGAAGCAACATATGTATTGATACCAACACAAAGGGGTAACTGCCCCTTCACCAGATAACAACCTATGGTGGTGGACCACCAGGCTAACTACACTAATCACACTGGGAGTAGCTACAATGGACAGGACCCCAGCTTGGGTCCAGGTCAACGTGTTGGTGACTCTTCTCGGACGTAGAACGTAGATCTTCAGGATAACAACAGCAACGCTGAACCCCAGTCCCTCTGGGAACCCGGTTTATATCCTCACTGGTCGTGGCTGGCCCCGCCCTTGGCCACAACCACCTTCTCCAATCCTCTAGCAGGATCTCGCCCGACGCGTGACTACCCCTAGCCCCCCACTTGGGGCCCCTGTGTAGATCTTACCCGTCACGTGCCTTCTAGGGTCCACCAGCGTGCCATGGCCTACATTAACCCCATTCATGGCCGGCACCCTCACACCCCCTCCTTTAGGGGACAGCACTGCACGCCGAGAGCAGTGCCACTCAGCGCTCTCTATCAGCGCTCACCGAGCCCCTCTAGGGCTAGTACTACACCTACATGTACGGAGTGTCCGCGATGGCAATACATCGCACGCTGTGCCTCTCTAGGGCCGGCACCACACAGTGACATCCACGATGTTACTACACAATTACACTCTGCACTGATTTTGACATGCAGTGTCTCAGCCATGGTCAGGCTTGCTTGAACCAAATACTCTAAACACATGTTTCCAAATGTGGAGGGAAAAACCAAAGGACCCAGAGAAAAATCCACAGGGAAAACAAATATCCAGGCGTTCAGGGTCGGGATCGGGATCGAACTCATGACCTCCTGTATACAAGGCGAAGTAGTTAACATCTTGCCACCGCAGACTCGCCTTGAGTAGGCCAGTGACAGCTACAATGACTGGGAGAGGAATGTCCGTTAATGCTTATCAGCTTGTAACCAGCACACCATCACATTTGTTATAGTCATCGTTTACTGTGCTTTTCCATTGTGGATCTTGTGACCCCGATGTTCTCAGCATTTGATATGCTCCTGGACCCCATGCAAGCTCTCGAAGAACTTATTTCTCTTGGCTTCGAACGCCTTCTGACAAGCGGATGTGAAAACACCGTACTCGAGGGGCTACCACTCATAAAGAAACTTGTCCAACAGGTACCCCAGTAAGCCATTTTGTTATTGAAATGTTTCCTTTGCAGACACTGCAGCGTTCAATGGCAGGCAGTGCGAATATTTTTTTTCGAATGCTCGGAGGCTTTCACGGGGCTCGTTTAAAATCCAAAGTGACCATTCCAACAATCGAGCAGACAGAAAATGAATATACAGGCATACAGTACCTCTTATAGTACTGCCTCCTATAATAACACCGTTTTGTTATAACTCTTTGTCCCAGAAGAAAATTCCTGCGTGGATCAGCCCATATATGGAAGAAAGTAGGCGTGGTGTTGACTGTAGGGGTGTGTCTCTGCCTGCCGGGGTGTGTCGCTCCCAGATCTGTTCTTGTGGAACCTGAATCGAGGTGTCTGTTGTATTGATTCTGCTCATAGTCAATCCAACAGCCATGTTAGAGTGTCTATTTATCGAGGGTTAATCACTGCATCGCTTCAGTGGCGATCCGTGGATCGAGTAATCTCATTGGTTCGTACTGTACAGCTTCCCACAGAACGTGGTTAAGGCAAACTGGTTAATCTTACACAAGCTCCTACCGAATCCACTTGTGACTACATAAGTTATTGTGGTTTCTATGTCGTTATCATTAAAAGTTATTATTTATAAAATGCTTAAATACGTATATCATGTGTACAATATCATTATTAAGGCGATTACTGATACCCCAATGAAGCCCTCAGATATTGCTCATAAGTAAAAAATAGCGCTGTCAGTACGCATCTCCATTGGAACCACGTTAGAATAACCTATTGCGATGTTTAGTATAGCGCTGTTGGTACGCATGTCCATTGGAACCATGTTATAGTGACTTCCGATAGCGCTGTTTCTCTCTTTCTTGTTTGTCCATCATAGTTAATGATGACCATGGCAGATTTGTCATTTTGTTGGGTTTTGATGAGTGCGCAGATGGCTGAACAGGCCAATCCGAGCCGGGAATTTTCTGTGGCACACTGGACAGGTCAGATAGGATGTAGAGCTCTGAGGTGCAGCCACAAGTCCTTGGTAGATTTGCGCAGCTGCCTCTTTAAGATAGCACAGGAGCTTCTGCTCTCACAGAGGACTGCACCATCCTGTACTTTTCTTCTCCAGGCAGGTCGATCCTGAGCTAGGGGTTTCCAGCTTTTCAGGTAGAATCCAAAGCTCTTCAAAGAAGCTTTCAGGGTGTCCTTGTAGCGCTTTTTGTGGCCACCTTGCGCTCGCTTGCCATTCTTCAGCTCGCCAAAGAAGACTTGTTTTGGCAGTCTCGCGCAGGGCATTCTGGTCACGTAGCCAGTCCATCTAAGCTGTTCCTTCGCAAGCAAGGTGTGGATGCTGGGGATATTGGCCTTGCTGAGGACTTCAGTGTCAGGGATTCTGTCCTGCCACTTGATCCTCAGCAGTTTCCTCAGACAGCTTTGGTGGAGATAGTTCAATTTCTTGGCATGGCGCTGGTAGACTGTCCAGACTTCGCACCCATACAGAAGAGTTGGTAAGACAACAGCCTGGTAGACCTTCAGTTTTGTCTCCTGCTTGATGCCAGTCCTTTCCCATACTGGGTCACGTAGACGTCCAAAGGCTGCACTGGCCTTGACAATCTTGATGTTAACTTCATCATCTATGTGCACAGCGCGAGACAGAGTACTATCAAGGTAAGTAAATTTGTCAACGGCTGAAAGCTTTTGCCCATTCACAAAGATGGTGGGCTCAGTGTGAGGAGAAGTGGTCCATACTGTCCTGTAGATCTTTATTTGAGCCAGCAGCCAGAGCACAGTCAGCAAACAAAAGTTCTCGAACGGTGACTTCCTCCACTCTGGTTTTAGCTTGCATCCTCCGCAGATTGAATAGCCCATCGTCAGTATGGCGCTGTCAGTACGCATCTCCATTGGAACCACGTTAGAGTAACCTATTGCGCTGTTTAGTATAGCACTGTTGGTGACTTTCTATAGCGCTATTTAGTATAGTGCTCCATTTACCAAGAACGCATCTTGTGTGCTATAAGAGGTATGCCCGTATATCAATGGGTTATATCTTTATCCAGACTCAGTCAGTGCCAGATGAAGCTAATAATAGGGGTTTTCCCCTTTTTTCTGGCAACAAAACTGAAACCTTTTATTATTATATTTTGGTACTGGCAAAGGAGGTCCAATGATGTTAGATGCTTACCCCGAGCCCTCATTACTTTGATAGTGCATTGTCTTTGAGCTATACGCCTTTTGGCATCATCTGGTCTAGCACCAATTGAGACGAGGCTCTAAAGAAAGCTGTCTCTGGTGTGGACCAATCAGTTTCAAGGACAATGCATATATTATCAGAGTGTGTTTTTTTTCATTTTGACTGCAAGTATTGTGGTTAATGCAGACATGAATCCTGGTAAAAAAAGGTTTGAGTTTTGTTGCCAGAAAAAAAGGGGAAAAACCCTATTATTATATTTTGGTACTAGCAAAGGAGGTCCAATGATATTAGATACTATTTTTTACTTGCATAGTAAAGTCATTGTATTTTTTCATTTGCTATACAGCCAGATAATACGACAAATCGCTAACCTTAAACACCCAGTCGTTCATAAAAGTTGAAGGCAGTATAGTACTATAGTAATAGAGCAAGTGCAGAATCAGTGAACCGGAATTGATAGCTTAAAAGCATTTAGCACGGGCCCTTATGGCTGCTTGGGGAGGCCTACATCCAAGGCTGTTGATGATGTTGGTATTATGTTTTTAATTGGACTAGTGCGACCCTGCGTTGAAGGGGTAAGGGTGAGGTTTTGCTGAAGGATTTCACCGAGCTATGTCACATTTGTAACTAACGTCTTTGCTCTTACTCGACACATTAGTTTCATGATTATGACGGGTTATGCATCATTATTAACGGTCCCATCATCAGTGAACCCATGGGCATCATCTAGAGTATAGTATCATCACCTCCAGTGCCCCATTTATCATGACTGCGAACGTCAATACACCCAACTTGATCATTATCGCTATCCACATAATAATGAATCCCATAATTTTTACTAGCCCCATCATCATCATTAGAGCCATTGTCGTAATGTGCGACTTATTACTTTTGTGGACAGGGTGATGTCAGACTTGAGTGGCTCAGCTATGGCTCAAGGGCTCTGCGCCAAAGCCAAGGCTGAGCTACACCGCTACGATTAATCCGGCCTGAATCTCTGTAAACTAATCTTTTCTTAACTATCCATATACTCTTAACTGGTGAGCTAAAGCATGACTGTTGCAATAGCAAAGTGTTAATCACCTCAATAATGTGCATGACCACCAAACATAAAATCGAGTTATTTTGTCATCGAGAATTGTACAAAATCTTGGCTTAAAGCTTTCGTGACTGCAGGAATTCATATTCTTTGGGTCTTTCGGTAAAGTCACGTAGATAGGTTGAAAGAAAATAACAAAAAACTACGACGTTTCGATCACAACACAAGCAATCGTCATCAGGAGTAAAAAATTAACCCGTAAAAACAAAGTTTTTCACTATAAATCCTTTATATGTGTGGCGGCTAGAGTCCTCTCGTCCTCTGGCTTGAGATGGCTGCCACCTATGGGTCAGATGATTGCCTGCCACCATTAAGCAATTGGTAATTAAATATAAAAAAAAATCCTAAAATTTTGGAAAAAATTTTCACGAAAATAAATTGTCACGCACAACGAGTCTGTGTGCAAAATGTCAGCTCGATTGAATCACGGGAAGTGGGTTAAAAAACGACCGAAAGATTTGCACGGTCATAAGCGGTCAAGCAAGTGAATATAAAGGATTTAATAAGTATAACCCGTAAAAACAAAGTTTTTCACTATAAATCCTTTATATGCGTGGCAGCGAACTTAATATAAAGGATTTAAAAAATATATAGGCCTGTGGAGGACGCGGGGATCGATCCCGCGACCTTTGGCATGGGAAGCGAGGGCGCTACCAACTGCGCTACTCCGCCATGGCTTATGGAGGGGTTACGCTCTGGGCTCTTATACTGTGACGTTCAGCCAAAGTGATGAATGCGTTCTATTTGAATATATGTAAAATAATTTTTTTTTGCCTAAAAAGTATAAAATTTTGGGAATTTTTTTTCACGAACATTTATTGTCTGGCACAACGAGTCTGTGTGGAAAATGTCAGCTCGATTGGATCACAGGAAGTGGGTTAAAAAACGACCGAAAGATTTGCACGGTCGTAAGCAAGCAAGCACGCAAGCAAGCAAGCGAACTTAATATAAAGGATTTAAAAAAGAGGAAAGCTGCTGAGGCAGACTGTTTTAAAGGTTTAGAATGTGTGTCGCCCAACGGTCATAAACAAAGTGGGCGGGGCTAGTGATGTTAATGTGAGAGATTAGCATGTTAATGTACGATCCGCGGACGACGTCCAAGACGGCGCGTAGGTGGCTATGTTAATGTAAGAGATTAGCATGTTAATGTAAGATCGCAGAGCCACTGCCGCTTCAGTGTGCTAGGTGGCTAACACATAGCTACATTAACATTTCCACCTATGCGCCATCTTGGACGTTGTCCTCCGATCTTACATTAACATGTTAATCTTTCACATTAACATCACTAGCCCCGCACACTTTGTTTATGGCCCTTGGGCTACACCCATTCTAAACCTTTAAAACAGTCTGCCTCAGCTGCTTTACTCTTTTTTCCTCCTGATGACGATCGCTTGTGTTGTGATTGAAACGTAGTTTTTTGTTATTTTCTTTCAACCTATCTACGTGACTTCACCAAAAGACCCAAAGAAAATGATAATTTGTATGATTACTCCCACAGACAAGGTTGAGTACATCGCATACTCGACATCTGTGAAAAAGAGCTTCATAGGTCATTGGATTCCTCCAAGATTAAGATTCTGACTCTGATACTACTAATAATTTGTAAAATGCAGAAGTGACAACAGTTTTTTTGGAGAAAATGTGTAGTAAATGAAATGTCTAAACGTGACTGCTGAATTGTGTCATGTTTTTGTAGGCAAACGGACGACTTATTGTCGTGCCAGGTAAGCACAGAACTGCATTTCATGACAGACTGGATGATAAGGGCTTATGGGGGGGGGGGGGGGGGAGAGGTGGCACGCCTAAAACTCCAGCACAGATAATGTGAAACACGTGTGTTGCTTATCGTTGTCAAGTGGGGGGTGAAGACTTGGAAAGTGCCGTTGTGATTCGAGCGTTTCTCTTCAGGCATTCGTCCACGTGACGGATTTTGCAGTCACATTGGCCTTCAGCCACGAGAGTGATGAGCAGCTCAGTGGAAACACCATCATGAGAATTAGACCAACGTGGCATGTACACATTTTATTGGATGCTGTACTTCATTTTTGTTAGCACAATTAGTCCACAACTTGAATTATTAAATAAATTCCCACATATAATCGACAGCTATACAATGGTTTTATAAATACCTAGTACTAAGTTACATTACAAAAATGCTTCCCCAGTATAATCTTGGTCTGTTCGTGGACCTTTACCCAAATTTGTGTTTTTTATGAATGTATCTGTTGTATATTGGAAGAAAAATAAAGTCAGTGTCAAAAGTTAAAGGTCATTTTTAAAATGACCAAATGTGTTCAATGCAAGATAAATTCAATGAGTCACTGGGCAAGGTGTCGGCTCCAGTAAAATCGGGCAACAAGTTGGACGCCCATCTCATTCCTTTTTAACTCCCAGATATCGATAGTTCTAAGTTAATGTGAAATTGCATTGAGGAACTATGACTGTGTGTTGTCTTGGTGTGGTCTGAGACAGTTTTTGTTTTTATGCCTTTCCCATTTAGTGTTGACAAATCAGCATAAATGTTTGTGCTTATGAAATTTGTACTCATATACTTTCTTTTTGAAATATATTTATGTTTAGTGACTTGCTTACCTTTTCTCTATTTTGCACTGTTATCATGTTTTTGTATTGTTGGAACTTGCTGACCCATGTCTACTGCACATCTGCGAAAAGAGCTTCATAGCTCATCGGATTCCTCCTCCAGTCGAAATACAGATTCTGATATTGGCAATGAGTCTGATCCGTTCAACTCACGATTCCTTTCACAAGTATTCACTGTTATCCATAACACCGCCACTTAGTGATGACACCATCACGGCGCTTGTGCCATGCTAGGTGCACCTTGAGGCCATATGCAGTGTCAAAGGTCCGCTGGCAGGTAGGTCACGGAACAGACCCAGGTCCCATGGGTGAAATGACTTGCTCGTATCCATATGGCCACTCAAACGTGATGCTAGTGGGTATCAGTTTGCTGTGAACCCGTTTACCGGAGTTTGATTTCCAGCAGGGTTCACAGTGGCAAGTGCTATCCGAACCAGAATCTTTAAAAAAGCGTATTGCCAACTGTACAGGATTAACTCATAACATCCTGTTCTTGCTTATGACAATCTCGTCAGGAGCTAAATAACAATGTTGACGTTTGCTAGCCACGAGAGGGCTTCAGGAGAGTTCATACAGTTTTGATGATCCTCCTCCATTAAAGGAAGGCAGACTACAGTGGCTCACAATATGGTCCATAATTTAGAGCATTGTTCTTCATTGCAAGGCCAGTGGACCACTGGCATCCCCTGGTGGCCTTTAAAGCGACCCTGACGTGCGGCCCCTGACAATACACAAATGTGAAAACATCCCATCATGCTGTCAAACCTCAATGATTTTGGCGAAAGTGGCCTACCTCTGAAAATTAGCGAAGAACACTGGTTTAGACCATAGAACACGTGAATAGACTCTTAATGGCTTTGTGACTGAAGTTCTTGCGAATAATCTGCATGATGCTGGGTTTCTGGTGACTGTAGGAGGAGGGATTACTGAGCGCAACCTCCAGAGGATTTTGGAGGGTTCTGGAGCGACGGAATTTCACTGCTCGGCGAGATCAGCCCGAAGCTCAGGGATGCAGCACAGGTGAGAACACGCTTGTGTACGCAAGTGGTATGTGTGGTACGTGTGGGGAACAGTAGTGTAGTGGTTAGTATGCTGCACTACGAACCCGGCAACTCAAGTTCAATTCCCGCTCATGGCCAGCATCAGTAACGATTATCTGAACCGGTTCTGGGCCTCTCCTAGGTTTACTCAGCATCAAATGAGTCCCTGGTGCAGTGTGTAAACATCGCCACTAGGGAGAGAAAGTTGGCCAGGCGTGGTGCTGCCACCCATCCCATCGTGTGCCGTACCAGCCTTCATAGGTGCTACATGTGTAGAATAGGACTTCTGGACACCCCGGGTATTGTAGAATCGCACGGAGACCAGATTCTTACTCAGGGCTGCTCGCCGTTTATTCACTCTTCCTCCACTCCACTCGCACTCCTCTCTCTCCACACTTACACCCGTGGAGGGCACTCGCGAGCCCCATCCCTTTCTCCTTCCTCACTCCCTCTCTCCTTAGGCTACCCCTTACGTCTCCCCCTTTCCCGGTCCCCCTCTTTAGCCCCCTTTTTCGGGGCTCCTCCCTTTACGCCCCTCTTCCCGCGCTCGCCCCTAGTCGGGTCCTGACGGTACTCCACTACACATGCTAACAGCACTTGCCTTAACAGTGTGTTAAGGCTTTATGAGGGAATTTGTCTTCGGAAGGTGTTCATGTTTGTTTCTTTGGTTGACCATTGCTCATCCAAGTACTATCCAGGCTCAATATAGCTTAGCTCCTGAATTTTTAAACATAAGGCACATTCTGGGTAATGTGGTGATAGGCTGGTATAATTCCACATCATTTTTGTGAGGTCAGGGAAGAACTTCGAAGGTTTTTCACCAATATCCATCATGTTCCTTTTAAAATAAATTCTTCAACATACGTTTTTCTTTTGTCCATTGTGAGCAGGAATGACTCTGTGCGGATGGGAGCTTCCTTCGGTCCATCAGAATACAGCCTAAAGATTGCAGACCCAAGCCGGATCTCCATACTTAACAATATTGCTAAAAGTATAATCTAAAGATAATTTTCAGCTGAACGGCACAATTCCTCTCCATAGTCGTTTACATTATGGGTATCCCTCTATTTACGAACGTTCGGTTTACGAAATTTTGCGTTAACTCAATTGAAAAATTATGGACACTTTTTGATTAACGAAATCGAATTTCACTACGCCTCGCGCCATGAGATCGTCAAACAAGAGGCTGTTTTGTCATCCACAACAGCGTCACAGTGTCCCTGCAGTGCAACAGTAACGCTTCCACATCACCTTGACAGTCATTCCAACATGTAGCAGATCTTTTGGTGAGTTCCATGACAAGGTTAATTATTTTAGTTTTTTGCCCGTTATTATTCCATCCTTTTAATAATTGTTTATTATTTTTTGTACTGGGAAAAGTGATATAGGTGTGTATTTTTAGCTTAGCAGTAGAGTTGGAATGACTTCTGAAACACATCCTTAGTTTTTTGTACAGGGGGTCTCTGGTTGACGACAGTCTAATTTACAACGATCCACATTCACGACGTTTATATAACGCCACCGTGGATCGACTTATGACTTAAGAGAAACTTGATTTACGACACATCTTCCGACGTGATTGAACGCATTTGAACAGAGGTTAGTCTGGTTTCCAATGCGACTTGGCATGGAGCTTTTGTTATTCTCAGATGATTTTGTGGATGTTTACCTTTAACCCCCGGTTAAATGTGGCTGATAAAAGGAAAAACACATCGGAAAGTGATGTTTCTGCACGTTCTACTGTCTATGGAAAAATAGGGTCCGATTTACAATGCTCCCAGGGTTTCCAGGAACGCATTATTCAAAAAGCGGGAGCTACCTGTTTTAAATTAATTGGAAAAGCCGTTCCGATTTACAAAACACCGTTTAACACGTAAATCGAGGGGTACCCTGTATATCACTGATGATACAGCCTCAAATGATATTGTCCACCGTATCCTGGTAACTCTGTAGTTTTCGCTCATCCGTCGTTTGTCTTGTGCAAGTACGATTTCCATTGTGTGCGAATAAAATTCAGAACCGAATGATTGGTTGTGGCTGTGTAATGACCGAATTCGAGTCGGCAAGTTCCGTTTCAGTCGTTTTATTTTTGTTGCCGAGTGTATCGCGTTACAAATTGCGAATGTAGCCCGACGCGAATAAAGAATGTTAACTAAATGTATAGTGGTGACTGTGTGGAGAGATGGTTTATGTCTGTGTATGCACGGGAGACCCTTGAATATCACGGGGTTACCCGTCGCCTTTTCGGCCTCTTGCGGGCAACCTCTTGGTACGCCAATTGAGCTATTGCGGGGGTCTTGGCGTTTGGCTAGAGGACTGCGTGCGCCATGGTGTTGCGTGGCCGAGACCGTAGCCCGTGCTGCAGGGCAGGCAGCCCGTGGTGCCACTCGCCACACTGCTGGGGCACGCGAGGCGGTGGGGGGTGGCCAGCACCACGCGCGGGCGCCTTTGTCTCCCTCGTGGCGTCATTTACACACCGTACCAGGTACTACTTTAAAGCTGAGTCGACATAGGGGAGGTCCATGACTGGTACAGATAATAGTCACTGATGTTGGCCGTGAGCGGGAATCGAACTCGGGTGGCTGGGTTCGTCTCGAGGCGCGCGGGCTGCGACATTCCCGACTTACGAACACATGGCAGGAATGGGGATGTTCGTAAGTCGAGGACTGTCCCGATGACGTGCAGGCCGTGGAACAGCGGAAGAATGATTTTCACGTAATCTCTTATTTTTCTTTATATGGTTGGCAAATGACGAATTTAAAATCATAGTTAATGGAACCACCCGCTTCAATTTTTTGTTTTATCTTTTTATACAAAAAAGTAACCCCAGTTACAAATCTCAACGGTAACCCAGCCAATGACGCCAAATTTAATTATTTATAAAGATACTTCTTTACACCGACGCATGTTAAATGTTTTGTGGTATTGATAACAGTTAATAATCGTTGAGCAGAACCGTAAGAGATCTATGTTCATTACAAAAATAAGCAAATATTATTAACCTTTTATATAACTAAGCCGCTTCCGTTACTCGTGGAAATGACGTCCGCAATGTTAATGCAATACAGGATCGCAATTCGCTGTCCTCGAAATTCCAAAAAAGGATGTATTTATCTGTACGAAGGCAATCCATGACACTATTATCCAACAAACTTTAACCAGCCCATCACAAACCAAATAAATAACATTTCAACTTAATATTTTAGAATATAAGAGAACTTCCGCTCGAGATTCGAATAAGCCGGAAGTGACGTCACGTCTTCAAAAAAGGCGGGAAGGCGTTGCCCACCCGCCGCTCGCTCGGGGTCTGAGGGGGAATCGCGAAACCCGATAAAGTTTTAAGAACCGATAACCGAATAAACAAACAAGGGGGACAATGTACATCAAGTCGATCGTGGTGGACGGCTTCAAGTCGTACGCCCAACGCACAGAGATCTCCGACTGGGATCCGCTGTTCAACGCCATCACTGGGCTCAATGGCAGCGGCAAATCCAACATCCTGGACGCCGTTTGCTTTGTGCTCGGCATCTCCAACCTGTCTCAGGTGAACCTAGTCTGGCACCAGGGAATGTGTGTTTGTGTGAACCTTGCCCGGTACCAGTAGGAGAGCGAGCGTGAAGAAAGTGCGTGTGTGAGGATAGCGGTAGAGTGTCAGACGGTGTCTCTGTGAGTCCATGGTGCGATGTGTAAACATCGCCACTGGGGGAGACAAAGGCGGCCAGGCGTGGTGTTGGCCGCCCACCCCCTCGTGTACCAGGACGGCCTTAATAGGTGCTCGCCTACAGCACTTGCCCCAACAGTTTCTTCAGGCTATACGGGGGATCTTTGTCGTGTGTTAACCTAGCCTGGTGCAGTGTGGGGGAGAGGGCGTGCTTCGTGCTGAGCATCTTAAACCTGTATCAGGCGAACCTAGCCTGGCACCAGAGAGTGTGAGTGGTGTGTGCACCTAGCCTGGTACCAATGAGAGGGAGAGTGTGAGAATAGCGGGTGAGAGAGCAAGAGAGTGAGCAGAGCGGGAGTGTGTACGTGAACCTAGCCTGGCACCAGTGTGAGGGAGATATTGTGAGAAGTACTTGATTGTGTGTGAACCTGGCCTGACGAGAGAGACAGTGGTGCACCTAGCCTGGCACTAGTGTGACGGAGAGTGTGTGCTTTGTGCTGGGCATCTTCAACTTGTCTCAAGTGAACCTAACCTGGCACCAGTGAGAACGAGAGTGAGGAGAGTGGGAGTGTGTGTGTGTAAACCTAGCCTAGCATCAATCAGAGAGTGTGTCAACCTAGCCTTGTACCGTTTAACACGTAGAATTTCGCGACCAATATCAATAATACATGTTTTTTTTTGCGTTGGATCGAAAGGTTTTGGGTTAGATTGATAGTGAGAGTGTGTGTGCGAACCTCGCCTGGCACTATGGTGAGGGATTCATATTCTTAGTTCTTTCGGTAAAGTCACGTAGAAGGGAAATCAAATAAAACATAAAATTCTCACGACATTTTGGCCACAACGCAAGCAGGTGAAGAATCAGAGCTGTCGGAAAGACAGCGTCTTAATGAACACTGCTAAGCTTGGCAGCGTATTTTAAGCTGGGTGGGAGGAGGAGAGCGCCTTGACAAAGGAGTTTACATATCAACAGAGGAATTTAGCATATTGATGACATGCAGATATGGGGTTAGTCACTCCTTGCGGAATGTGTAGGCGGTGGGGGGTCTCAAAGTCATATTATGCTCGTGTATTATGTAGGATTAGCAGTAATAAAGGTAGGTAAATTTTAATAATAAAAAACTGCGGCAGCCAAACCACCGCGTATCAAGTTAGTGCATTATGTGGAAAAAAAAGAAAGGAGTTTCTAAAGAACTATAAATACCATAACTATCATACAATAAACCGATGTGAAAACAAACCCTAAATATAAACTACATCAATATAATCAATGTACGCAATATACTCTCCAATAAGCTGAGCTATTAATATTAAGTAACTGGGTATACTACACTATATAAGGAATACCATTTACACGCTTTTATTTAACTCGCTTTGTCTTGTATCCTCAAAAAATAAATCTTGTAACTCAATTTTTACACACTTCCCAATGTGCTATCGACTGCAAACTTCGTATAGGTATGTCATGCTGATGACAACAACACGATATTCTATCATAAAAAAATCCAAAACATATCTTTTAAAACTTTTTACACGCTTTTATTTAACTTACTGTATGTGTTGTCGTTTCCAAAAATCTTGTAACTCAATTTCAACCGTATTCCCAATGTCGTATCGACATCGACTGCAAACTTGGTATAGCTGTCATACTGATGACAATACTATATTCTATAATTCAAAATAAAAAATACATATTTTTAAACAATCTTTTTTACGGCTCTAATTGTCCACGCTCAACTGACGTTGCCTGTAAATTACCACGGTCCCTTACGTCACGGCAAGCCTCGGGGAGCCACACCGAGGGGCGGGGGATGTGGAAGGAGGAGAGGGGCGATGGGGGCAGGGGGAGGGGCAGCTCGGACAGTACATTTCATTAAAGCGTGTTTAAAAAAAAAGTATTTTTTAATATTTTATTCCTCAACGTTATCACCACGGAAAGCGGCGAGTGTTGTTCAGACGGACGAGTCCATCTATGCTCGGAACGGAGGAGGGGGGGGGGATAAAGAAAAACAACCACGATGCGCTACTCTGTCCTGTGTTGCGTTACAACTATGCTATAAACTAGACTACTATACATTACAATATTATACCCTCCAATCTAAACTACACTGTAATATCGTATACACAGCCCAATATAAGCTCTAACATGCATTATATTGATATGACTCCAATTAAACTTTTTTCTACATCACACGACTATACACCATACTATACACTGCCATAGACAAACGCCACTATTGAATTATACAATGCGTTACTATACACTACCCTATACCTTAGAGGCTTATACTATACATTGTAATATTACACTGTATTATTCTACAAACCCTGCTGTATACCACACTACTGTATATTCACTATACAATTACGATACTATATATTACCTTATACATTCTATTAAACATTACACTTATAAATCGAAACTACAATTTAATCAATGTACTCAATATACTTTCCAATAAGCTGAGCTATTCACATTAAGTAACTGGGTATACACTACACTATATAATGAATACCATATAGTGAACCGATAAAAAAACTAAAATATAAACTACATCAATATAATCAATATACTCTCTAATAAGCTGAGTATACATGTCAACAGAGGAATTTAGCATATTGACGCTAAATAACTGCAATTACCACTACTACCATACAATAAGCCGATATGAAAAAACTAAATATAAACTACATCAATATAATCAATGTACTCAATCGAAATTTATGGTGAGTGAGTTAGTGAACCAAGCTAGGTACCTGTGAATGAGAGCGAGTGTGAAGGTGACCCAAACGTCAGGACATTATTATACAGTGTAGCCCAAAGTCAGGTCACATTAGATTATTATTATTATTGTACAGGGTGGCCTCACATTAGGTTATTATTGTACAGTGTAGCCCAAAAGTCAGTACACATTGGGTTATTATTGTAATGGGTTCCGGAGACACTTGTAGAGGTAACTTCTTTATTACAATCCAACACTCAAACACTCCAACTCTCCAACTCTCCAACAGTCCTGATATTCTGTTCCAGCCTAGGTACACAGCCTAGGTACACAGCCTAGATACTCTACTCTGGCTACGCTCTGGAACTCGCCCTCACAAGGTCGTAGAGTCGGGAGTTCCAGAGTCCCACCACTGGCCCTCACAGCGTCCCAGGGTTCTCAGATGGCTGGTCTTGGGTCTTGGGTCTTGAGCTACAACTGGCCCTGATCGTCCAGGGAGCTCCCCTTTTATGCCTAGTCCCCAACGAGGGGTGGGGCCGTGTGCACCCCCAGATATCCCACAGGGCACACACAGTCCCCCCCGTTGGTGGCGCCAAGGGGCCCAAGCGCCTGGGCCGCCCAGGGTCCCAGAGCCCCCAGCAGCCCCTCCTTTCTTATGTCACTACATTATTATTGTAAAGTGTAGCCCAAAAGTCAGTACACATTGGGTTATTATTGTACAGTGTAGCCCAAAGTCAGTACGCATTGGGTTATTATTATTGTACAGTGTAGCCCAAAAGTCAATACACATTGGGTTATTATTTTCCAGGGTGGCCCAAAAGTCAGGATACAGGGTTATTACACAGGGTGGCCCAAAAGTCATGACACATAGGGTAGCCCAAAAGTCAGGACACATAGGGTTATGATTATACATGGTGGCCCAAATTCAATTGGTCTCCGCTCGATAAGTGAACATTTTGCTTGTTTTGCTTACAAATGGGTCTAATTTGCTCGTTGTAGCGAATTGTTGTAGAAAGAACACTCTTTAAGAGAGACGTGCCTGTACGGGGTGGCCCTAAATTCAGGACACATTGGGTTAATTCGTATATTTGAACACATTTTCAAACTGACTTTCATTATTAACATTATCAGAATGCATGAATTTTCTTTTGAAATTAATTTACAGGTGTAATATTTGAGCATTCTCTTTCTCTCTGTGCCTCTCTCTCTCTGTCTCCTTGTCTCCCTGTCTCTCTGTGTCTCTTCCTCCCCCCCTGTCACTGCCCCTCTCTCTGTAGGTGAGAGCAGCAAGTCTGCAGGAGCTGGTCTACAAGAACGGCCAGGCTGGCGTTACAAAGGCAACCGTCTCCATTACATTCGACAACCGTGACCGGAAACAGAGCCCCCTGGGGTTCGAAGGCCATGCGGAAATCACCGTCACCAGACAGGCACGCACATCCTTGCCTTTACTCCTCCACTCGCTCACTCACCCGCTCACTCACCCACTCGCTCACTCACCCGCTCACTCGCCCACTAACTCACCCACTCACTCACCCACTCACTCTCGCTCACTAATTCACCCGGAGAGAGAGGACCACGCGGAGATCCCGGTCACCAGACAGGGACGCAGCGCTTTAAATGTATCTGTGTATTTGTGTGTGCGCATATATATGTACGTGTGGGTGGGTGTGTGTCTCTGTGTCTCAGTGTCCCCTTGTGTCTCTCTGAGTCTTTGTCTGAGTGTCTTTTCTGTGCAGGTGGTGATTGGAGTCTTAGTGTCTCTGCATGTGTCTGCTCTGCCTGCCTCCTCTGTGCAGGTGGTGATTGGAGTCTCAGTGTCTCTGCATGTGTCTGCTCTGCCTGTCTCCTCTGTGCAGATGGTGATTTGCGGCAGGAACAAGTATCTGATCAGTGTCTCTTGTGTGCCTCTGTGTCTCTGCGTGTCTCCTCTGTTCAGGTGGTGATTGGCGGCAGGAACAAGTATCTGATCAACGGGGTGAACGCCACCACGGCGCGTGTGCAGGACCTCTTCCGCTCTGTGGGCCTCAACGTCAACAACCCCCACTTCCTCATCATGCAGGTACCTCCTCAACATCACCACTAACACCACCATTACCACCATCATCACCACCGTCATCACCACCATCAACGTCAACAACCCCCACTTCCTCAATGTAGGTACCACCTCTACATCATCAATATCATCAGCATCATCGTGCAGGTTAGACTATTGAAGGAGATGAGTGGTGAGTGGGTGGTGAGTGAGTGTTTTCTTGTTTTGCAGGGTCGCATCACCAAGGTTTTGAACATGAAGCCTCCTGAGGTGAGGCATTTGCCCTTGCCACCACTCGCCCTTTCCACCATTCACCCACTCATCGTGTCCACCCCTCACCACTGCTCACCCTCATCTCCTCACCTCTCCAGATCCTGGCAATGATTGAGAGACTGCAGGGACTCGTATCTCTTCTCCTCACCTCTGCTCCTTACCTCTCATCTCTGCACCTCTTCCCACAACTCCTCACCTTTCCCCACATCTCTCAGTGTCTCTTTTTTCCTCAGCGTCCCTTCCTTTCCTCAACCCCCCTCACCCCCCCTCACCTCACCCCAGATCCTAGCGATGATTGAGGAGGCTGTAGGGACCCATATCTCTGCTCCTCACCTCTCGTCTCCTTACCTCTGCTCCTGCCCTCCTTCACCTCTCCCCAACATCTCCTCACCTCTCCCCATGTCTCTCCTCGTCTCTCTATTCTGTCTCCTCGTCCCCACCCCTCCTCGTCTCTCCTCCTCACCTCTGCCCCTCACCTCACCCCAGATCCTGGCGATGATTGAGGAGGCTGCGGGGACCAGGATGTATGAGAGCAAGAAACTGGCAGCGCAAAAGACTATCGAGAAGAAGGAGGCCAAACTTAAGGAGATCAACGACGTGAGGGGACCTCCCGCTCACCACCTACGCTCACCACCTACGCTCACCACCTATGCTCACCACCTACACTTACTATGATCCACTTGCCATGAGTGACCCCTATGATCTCATGACCCCTGTCTCCATTTTTCCAGGTTCTGGATGAGGAAATTTCTCCAACGCTGGAAAAACTCAAACAGGTGAGGCACCGACACTTGCTATACACTGGCAACTCACTCGCCACCCACTCACCATATACTCACCACTCTCCCCTCCCGCTTCACCCCCAGGAGCGCACCTCCTACCTGGAATACAGCAAGCTGTGCCGGGAGCTGGATTCTCTCCGGCGCCTGGTGATCGCTCACCAGTTCTCCACGGCGAGCCAGGGCCAGGAAAACGCCGCTCTGCACCTCCAGAAGCTGCGTACTGATGAGCAGGAGGCGCGAGAGGAGGTAGAGAGGCTGGAGGAGGAGGAGAAGAAGAGGGAGGGAGAGCTGCGGGAGATGGAGAGGGAAAGGGACAAGGTGAGGATGAGTTGGAGGGAAGAGGAAGAGGGGGAGAGAGAGGTAGGGAGGGAGGGAGGCGGAGAGGGAGAGCTGTGGGAGATGGAGAGGAACATGGTGAGTGTGGGTGAGGGAAGGAGAGGGGGAGGGAGGTGATGTTAATAATGTTGATGATGGTGATGTTGATGGTGTGTAGGAGGCAGGAGGGGATCTGTCCTGTGTGGAGGAGGCCCTGACTCTTTGCGCAGTGTGCCCACGCCAAGGCCCAGAGCGTGCCCATGCCAAGGCCCTGAACCAGGCCCAGGCATGGTGATGATGATATTGATGGTTATGATGATGGTGGTGGTGATGTTGATGATGGTGTACAGGAGGCCGGAGGGGATCTGTCCCGTGTGGAGGAGGCCCTGACCCAGGCCCAGCGTGCCCACGCCAAGGCCCAGAGCACCCTGGACATCCGCACAGAGGCCCTGGCTACGGAGCAGGCCCACAGGGAGCAGCTGCTCGCTAACATGCAGGAGGTACCTCCTCGCCGACCTCGGTCACCTCCCTAACTCACCTCTCTCTCACCATGTCTCTCTCTGCAGGCCACATCTCATCCAATCTTTAGTTTCAAACGTCAATTCATGTTTTACTTGTGATATTCAATAAAAAAAATAAGTTAGGTAAACTACCACGATTAAACTACCCCAACATCTAAATACCGCCCCCCTAAAAAAACCTTATTGCTGCGTTTAAAACAAGTATTTTTATGTTCAGATAATATGAATCATCGTATTACTGATATTTAGAGAGATAAGTGAATGTGTTTTGTGACCAGGTGTATGGGGCTTGGGTGGTCTGTGGAAATGTTTTGCTGAGTGGTCCGCAGGCCAAAAGCTGTTTGAGAAACGCTGCTCTAGACTAGGTGAACTTCACCTCCGGGCTCGCAGGTCGTGTCTCGCTCACAGTGTCTCCCCCTCTCTCACCCCTTCTCTGCCCCCAGGACGCCATTGCCCGCGACGCCAAGCGCTCCCAGGTTGTGGCGCTGGAGGCGGCGCTGGCGTCGGCGTTGGCATGCTCCCAGGAAGCGGCGAGGGGCCTGCAAGAAGCTCAGGCGCGCTTCGCGGCGGCCTCGGTGGGCCTCTCGGAGGATGGGCAAGGTGGCCACGCCGCCACGCTGGCCGAGCAGATCCTGAAGTGCCGCCAGGAGGCCAGCCAGGCCCAGACTGAAGCTGCGCAGGCAAGGGAGGAGGCCTCTGGGCCTACTAACTCGTGCATTCACCCACCCGTTCTCATTCGCCGTCCTGGAGTACCCACTCAACAACCCACCCCACCCCGTGCCCCCCAGGCTCAGATGAAGCTGTCCCACGTGCAGCGCGAGCTGCAGCAGCGCAAGGCGGAGGAGGGCCGCACCACGGAAGCCTACACTCGCGACCAGCAGGCTCTGTCTCGCTTGAAGACCCGAGCCCAGGGCCTACTCAGGGACATGGCCGCCCTGGGCTACACGGGTAACACGGGGGGTGGAGGAGAAAAGGGAGAGCGTGCAGGAGAGAGTAACGGAGGGAGGGGAGGGGAGAGGAGCGACACTGGGTGGGGGGTGGAGAGGGGCGTAGTGGAGGGGTTAACGTGCTGCGCTACTACGAACCCGGCAACCCGAGTTTGATTCCCGCTCACGGCCAACACCAGTGACAATTATGTGATCCCTCATTGACCTCCCCTAAGTTGACTCGGCCTTAATTGAGTACCTGTGAATGTCACCATCGAGGGAAACAGGAGGTCTGGTGTGGTGCTGGCCGCCCACCCCCTCGTGTACCACGCAGACCTTAGCAGCACTTGCCCCAACACTGTTGAGGCTATATGGGGGAGCTTTGTCTTTGAGTCTGTGTGTTACTCTTTGGTTTTTTCGGTAAAGTGGGGACAACGTAGCGAGAGCTGGAAACCCAAGTTCGATTCCCGCTCACGGCCACCACCACAAGTGGTAATGGTAACGGCAGCAATTATCTAAACAATCGGTCCTGGGCCTCCTCCCCAAGGTCAACTCGGCCTAAAATGAGTACTTGGTGCAGTGTGCAGTAAATATCGCCACTGGAGCAGCTGTGTGTGGCTGTTACCATGGAGACATTGGAGAGGCGAAGCTTAACTACACTATAAACTAAACTATATTTATTTTACCAGGTAAGGCCCCACTGAGCTATGTAGCTCTTTTTCAGAATCGACTTGGCTATCAAAAATGATAGCTCAACGAAGTGGCTTATCACGTGGAAATTTATAGCATCCAATACTCTAAAGGGGTGATGTTGATTCTAAATGTTGAATGGAAAAACTGGAGGTCCTGGGGAGAGAAACGTGCAAACTCCAAATATGCAGCAGGTGTCAGGTTTGGGATTGAACCCACGACTTCCTGTACACCAGGCGAGGTAGTTAACATAACAGGCGGTGTCCAGCTGTAGAGGGGCAGCTGTGTGTAACTGTTATCATGGAGACGGTAGGGAGGCTAACAGGCGGTGTCCGGATGTAGAGGGCCAGCTGGAGATGCTGCAGAAGAAGATGAAGGAGCTGGCCGCGGAGGAGTCGGCGATGAGAGAAAAAGTAGACCGGGCGGTCGCCAGCATGCCCCAGCTCCAGTTTGATTACCGGTGGGTGGATCTGTTATTCACCTGCTCAATCATTTACCCATTCACTTGCTCCATCGCCACCACACCCCAGCTCTAGTTTGACTACCGGTGGGGTGGGTCTGTTGCTAGCTCACTCACCCACTCGCTCATTCACCCACTCACTCACTAAACTACCCACCCACTCATTCACCTGCTCGCTCATTCACCCACTCATTCACCTGTTCGCTTACTCACCCACTCGCTCATGGTCTTACGCGCTCATTCATGCGCTCCCTCACTCGTTTGCTCGCTAACTCACTCGCTCCCTCACTCACTCGTTCACTTGTTCACTCACACACTCACCTACCCATTCACCTGTTAGCTCGCTCGCTCGCTCACTCGCTCACTCACTACTCTCCCTCTTTTCGTGTTGCCTCCTCTCTCTTCACTCCTCACCCTGCTCCCCACCGCCATGCTCGCGCGTGCCCTGTGCAGGGACCCCGAGCGGGGCTGGGACCGTGGCCGTGTGCGGGGCCTGGTGGCGTCTTTGCTCCGCGTGGAGGATCCTGCATCCGCCACTGCTCTGGAGGTGGTGGCCGGGGGTAAACTCTACAACGTGGTGACTGACACCGAGGTGAGCGCCCACGCTCACTCATGCTCGCCGACACTCGCCCACACCCATCCACCATCCTGGAGGTGGTGGCCGGGGGTAAACTCTACAATGTAATGACCAACACCGTGGTGAGCGCCCAGTCCTCACCTGCGCTCACCCACACTCACCCGGTGAGTGGCTCGCCCATGCTCGCTCCCTGTGTGTCACCGTGTCTCTCTCACTGTGTTGCAGTTGACAGGGAAGCTCCTGCTGGAGCGTGGCTGCCTGCGGCGCAGAGTCACGGTGATTCCGCTGAACAAGATCAGCCCCAGCGTCACCCCCCCCAGCGTCAGCACCATTGCGCGCAGCCTCGTGAGCACCCTGCCGTGTCTCCCCTCCGTGTCTCCTCACCGTGATCTCCCCGTGTCTCTCCTCACCCCCGTGATCTCCACATGTCTTCTATGTCCCCGTGTCTCCTTCCCGTGTCCCTGTCTCCTCACCCTCCGCGTCTCTCTCCTCACTCACCATGTCTCCCCCCTCACCCCCCGTGTCTCCCTCCTCACCCCCCCCACGTCTCACCCCCCTGCGTCTTCCCCCCCTCACCCCCCGCGTCTCACCCCTCCCGTCCCTGCGTCTTCCCCCCCCCCTCATTCCCCACATCTGACCCCCCACGTCTCCCCCCTCACCCCTTCCGAGTCTTCATCGTCACCCCCCCCCCTGCGTTTCCCCACTCACCCCTGCCGCATCTCCCCCAGGCGGACGGTGTCTCTCCCGCGCTGTCCCTCGTGTCTCCGCGCTCTCCCTGTGATCTCCCTGCGCTGGAGTTTGTTTTCGGCGCGGCGTTCGTCTGCCCGACGATGGACGCGGCGCGTGCCGTGGCCTTCGACCCTCGGGTGTCCACGCGGGCGGTGACGCTGGACGGGGACTCCTTCAGTCCGCACGGCACACTCACTGGGGGGGCGCGGGCACAGGTAGGTCACTCGCCATCACCACGCTTACCACCACGCTCACACCACTATTACCATCACTCGCCACGGGGGCAGCGACGCTGGATGGAGGCTTCTTCAGCCCGCACGGCACGCACACGAGTGGGGGCGCAGGCACAGGTGGGTCGCTCACCACCACCACACTCACCACTATCACCGCCACGCTCACCACCCCCCCTGGGTGTGCAGGTGGTGAGCGTGCTGGTGAGAGTGGAGCAGCTGCTCACCCTGCAGGATAAGCTTAAAGAGTTGGAGGAGAAGGGGAAGAGGATGGACGAGGAGGCTCGCACACTCACCAAGCTCGCAGAGAGGTGAGCGTGGTGAGGGGGCAGGTGAGGAGTGTGGAGGGGAGTGATGGGCTAGGAATGTGGTGGAGAAGGGGTGGTGAGGAGTGGGGAAGAGGCTTCCTCGCTCACCCAGCTCGTAGAGCGGTGGGGGGGTCAGGAACGTGATGAAGAGTGTGGGGAGGTGGGTCGAGATGAGGAGGGGTGTAGGGAGATGAGTGGGTGGTGGGGAGGGTAGTGCAGGAGCATGGTGAGGAGTTTGGAGAGTGGGGGTGAGGAGCGGAAGAGGGTGGAGGAAGCTCGCACACTCTGCCAGCTTGCGGAGCGGTGAGGAGTGTAGGAAGGGGAGGCTGGATGAGGAGTGTAAAGGGTGTTGTGGGGGGATAGCATGGTGAGAGCAGGAGTGGAGTGGGGAGGAGATTGACTGTGTCTATCCGTTTGTCCTCCCTCTTTCTCTTTCAGGCACCGTGAGCTGCGCCAGCAGCAGGAGTTGGTGGCGCAGGAGGTGGAGCAGCTGCAGCAGAAGCTGGAGCTCAGCACTCACCATAAGCTCCAGACGGAGCTCGCCGCACTCGCCACCTCCATCGGTGAGCCACTCACCCATCCACTCACCCAGACACTCACCACCAGAAGCTGGAGATCAGCAGTCACCACAAGCTCCAGACAGAGCTCACCACGCTCACCACCTCCATCGATGAGCCACTCGCCTCCCCACTCAACACTTTCATCGGTGAGCTGCTTCCTCCCCCTCTCCCCAAATCTGTCTCTCTCCCTATATATCTCACTCTCTCTCTCCACGTGTCTCTTTCTCCCTCTCTTTTTCCGCTTCTTTCCCCCGTCTCCCTTTCCATGTAGAGGAGGTGAGGAGAGAACAATGTGTGTGTCTCTCTCTCTCCCTGTATCCTCCCTCCTTCCCTCCCTATCTCTCCCCGGGTCTCTGCTCCGACTCTCCATCTCTCTCCGTGTCTCTCTCTCTCCCCATCTCTGTTGCTCTCCGTGTGTCACTCTCTCTCTCACCCTCTCTCTTTTTCCCTCTCTCTCCCTGTTTCTCTTTAGCAGTGTCTTTTTCACCTTTACCCACTCTGTGCATCTCTCTCCCTCTTTTTTCCTTTCCCCACCCCCTCTCTCCCTTCTCTCTCCCTCTCTGTAGAGGAGCTGAGTGCGGCGCCTGCTCTCTGCGAGGAGCGGAGAGCGGCCGCGTTGCAGCGCCTCCACTCCCTGGAGGAGCGACTCCAGAACGCCGAGCGGGACCGGCGCCACGAGCAGGAGGGGGCCTCTAGCGCCCTCGAGTTGGCACGGGGGACAGCCCAGAAGCTAGCGGGGATCGCCAGGGAGGCACAGCAGGTGAGGTGGTGGTGAGGGGGTGGGTGGCAGGTTGAGGGAGTGGTTGGGTGGGTAAATTAGGTGATGGATAGGTGAGTTGGGTGAATTAATGAGTGGGAGGGTGAGCAAGTAGATGGGTCGGTGAGTGGGTAGTGCAATTGATGGATGGGTGAATTAACGCATGAGTGTGAGAGTAAGCGAGCAGATAGTGCATGAGCTATTGGGAGGGTGATTGGGTGAATTAAGTGGGTCATTGAGTGAGTGAACTCTAACCACCCCCCCCCCCCTTGCCAGTCTCTGTCCACTGTTAGGCTGGAGGTGGAGGAGCTAGAGAAGGAGGCGCTGGTGGGGCAGCAGGAGCTGCAGAGGGTGGAGGCGGCCACGCTCTCCCTGGAGGAGACCGTCCGGGAGCTCAGCGCCTCTGCTGAGAGCTTGCAGGTATCTACCTGCTCACTCGCCTACCCACCCACTCACCTTCCCACATACTCACCTACCCAATCACTTTTTTTTTTTACCTGGAAAGGCCCACTGAGATTTTTTCAGACGTGACCTGGCCAAAGAATTATACCCCAATGCAGTGGCTTATTATGTGGAAATTTATAGTAGCCAAATACTCAATGCATATTTCTAAATGTGGAAGGAAGAACCAGAGGACCCGGAGAAAAATCCATGCGACCACTGGGAGAGAGACATGCGAATTCCATCGAACCCACAACCTCCCACAACCTCCTGTATACTGGGCGAGGTAGTTAACATCTTGCCACCCGAGTCGCCCTAATCCACCCCCGTGTCTCTTCTTCTGCCTGTGTGCCACAGGCGCGTGTCTCCGAGTGCCAGAGCCACGTGACGGAGCTCCAGGAGGTGCTGCGTGCCCGCCAGGAGGCGCTGGGGGAGGCGGCGAGGGCGCTGGAACAGCTGCGGGCGCGGCGCGGCGCTGCCGCTCTCACCCTGACGGAGCGCGGGCACGCAGTGGGGCGACACCAGCGGGACGCCCTGGACAACGCAGCCAAGGTACCCGCCACTCACTCACTCAATCACTCATTCACTCAACCATTCACTCACTCAACCACTTCATCCCCCACTCACTCGCTCAACCACTCACTCACTCAACTGCTCACTTAACCACTTACTCGCTCGTTCGCTGAACTGCTCTATCAACTGCTTGTTTGCTCAACCGCTCCCTTGCTCAACCGTTCGCTCAACCGCTTGCTCAACCGCTCGCTCAACCACTGACGCTCAACCACTCGCGCTCAACCACTCACCCACTCACGCTCAATCACTCACTCACCCACTCGACCATTCACTCAGCCGCTCCTGAATCCCCACTAACCCCCTCTCTCTCCTCCCGCTCTCTCTTAGGTGGATCGTCTGCTCAAAGAGAATGCGTGGATCTCCACAGAGCGCGCTCTATTTGGCCGCCCCAACACGGCGTACGACTTCGCCGCCAGCGACCCAAGCGATGCTGCCCGGAGGCTATCGCGCCTGGAGCAGACACGCCAGCGGATGGTGCACACCGTTAACGAGAGGGCCATGAACTTGCTGGCCCAGTCCGAGGAGAAGGTGAGGGAGAGACAGGGGCGGGGAGAGAGAGGCAGGGAGAGGGGGAGATGAGAGAGGGGGACGAGGAAGACACGGGAAGAGTGAGACAGATCCTGAGACTCTGATCCTGTGTGACCCAATGACCCCAGTACGTGGACCTGATGAAGAAGAAGCGGATCGTGGAGAACGACAAAACCAAGATCTTCAGCGCCATGCAGGAGCTGGATCTCAAGAAGAATGAGGCTCTTAACCTGGCCTGGAGACAGGTACCACACTCGCCACTCGCTAACCACTCACTCACCATGGAGGAGCTGGATCTCAATAATAACAAGGCTCTCTGGCCTGGAGACAGGTCCCATGCTGACCACTCATTCACCACCATACTCTCCAAGCACTCACACACTATACTCACCACCCACTTACCACGGAGGAGCTGGATCTCAATAAGAACAAGGCCCTCCACCTGGCCGAGAGGCAAGTTCCACGTTCACCATTCACCACCATAATCACCATTCACTCGCCACCATACCAGTCTCTCTCCCCTCATCTCTCCTCTCTCTCTCCCCCCCCCTGCATGCATCTCCCTCTGCCCGCGTGCGTCTCTTTCCAGGTGAATGGAGACTTCAGCTCCATATTCTCCACGCTGCTGCCTGGCTCCCAGGCGCGTCTCACTCCCGTGGAGTCCTCTTCCTCCTCCACCTCCTCCACCTCCTCGCTGCTCCAAGGCCTGGAGTTTCGTGTGGCTCTGGGCTCCGTCTGGAAGGAAAATCTGAGCGAGCTGAGCGGAGGCCAGAGGTGAGGGAGGGGTCCCTGTCGGTTGTGTATATATGTGTGCATCTGTGTATTTTTCTCTGTGCTATCCAGGTCCCTGGTGGTGCTCTCTGATCCTGGCGATGCTGCTACCTCTCGGCATATCTCTCTATATATGTTTATCTTTGTATCTCTCTCTCTGCTGGATAGGTCACTGGTGGCCCTATCCCTGATCCTGGCCATGCTGCTCTTCAAGCCGGCTCCGATTTACATCCTGGACGAGGTGGACGCCGCCCTGGACCTCTCCCACACCCAGAACATCGGACACATGCTGCGCACTCATTTCCTCACCTCGCAGGTACAACAACAGCTGCCAATCGCCATTAAGTGGCGATGACATCACCATGGCGCTTGTGCCAGGCTTCGTGCACTTTAACGCCACGATAACTGTTGAATGCCTGCTGGCAGGAGATCACAGGACGGAGCCAGGTGCTATGGGTTGACTGAGATGACTGGCAGATGCACCACCTGCATGCCCCTTCCTGTGCCAACTTGCTGTGTTTTAGCCGCCCAGCGCTCCGCTTTTTGTTGTTGCTTTTCCCCTCATGGTGCTTGTAGCCACTACAGTGGCCAATGGGGGCTCTGGATGGATGCAATCGGCTGGTAACCCTTCCACCTTCAATTCATTTACCACTAAATTACGTGAGAAATATCTGTCTTAGCTTTTGCTGGAGGCCCCAGTGGGACAGGCATCTATGAAGACTCGCAGGTACTCGCACACACAACAACAACAGACGCCATTCGCCACTAAGCGGCGGTGACGTCGCCACAGCGCTTGTCAGGCCAGATGCACTCTGAAGCCTCGTGAAGTGTCAAAGGCTCGGCAATAGGTTACGGGACAGATGCAGGTGCCATTGGTTGTGCACGGTTGCAATTTACTTTGCTCAGTCGGTGTTAGCCACTGAGGTTGTGACGGGGTTTCTCTTTTCATTCCTGTTGCCCTGGGCCCCCGGTACTGTTCCTGTTCTGATGTTATGAGCACTGATGCCTACTTCTTTGAGGGCGATATTGGCACATAAAATAAGATCGATTGATTGACTTGAGATGACTGGCAGATGTACCAGCTCTACCCCCTACTGTGCCAAAGTGCTGTAATTTAGCTGCCCAGCACTCAGCTCATTGTTGTGAGGGTTGCTCCTCTGCTCTCCTCTGTTGTTGGAGGGTGACTACCTCCAACTGCCCAGTAGCGTTCTTCACAAGCATCCTCCACAGAGGCCGATCTTAACAGCACTTCGGCAAGTCTACCCAGCTGCACATCCTCCCGTACCTCATCACTCCATCTCTTTTTCAGCTCGTGTCGTGCCCGTTTAGCCCTCTCTATGCAGCCAAATAGAAGCAACTTTGCCATGCGGTGGCTGGGCATGCGGGCTCCATAACCCAGCCAATGCAGCCTTGACCACCAGAGCTCACTGATGGGAATGTGTCCAGATCTTTCAAGGATTTGAGAGCTGCTCACATAATCCAGCCTTGTTAAACACAGAATGGATTGTAGGCAGGTCAGTCTGAATGTTTCTAACTGGTGCAGATGTTCCATTAGAGGGGTCCACGTTTTGCACTCGCCCACACACCTACTCATTCATTCACTCCTACACCCAGAACATCGGACACATGTTGTGCACTCGCTTCTTCACCTTGCAGATACGCTCACATGCACGCTTACCCGTATACCCACTCACCCGTACATTCGCCTGCATAATCCCTCACCCGCACTATGGCTGGACTTCTGTGCCAGGCTAGGTGTTGGTCATGGGACAGACCCCAGGTGCTATGGGTTTGACCCACTGCTGTCTCTCCCCATCTCTCTCCCCCCCTCCGTCTGTCCCCCCCCCTCCATTTCTGTGTGTCTCCCCCATGTATCTCTCCCCATCTTGCTCTCCCTATGCCCCCCCTCCATGTCTCTTTGTCCCCTTGCAGTTCGTGGTGGTCTCTCTCAAGGATGGGATGTTCAACAACGCCAACGTGCTCTTCAAGACGCGCTTCGTAGAGGGCGTTTCAACGGTGACGCGGCATACCAACGCCACCACCACCTCTCGACCAGCAGCCCCCTCCTCATCCTCTACGAAGGGAAGGGGAGAGGGAGAGGAGAAAAAGGCAAAGAGAGGGAGACTGGGTGATGAGTAGAGTAGCAGGGAGGAGAGGGGGAGTGGGGAAGAGAGAGACTAGACTAATCTAGATTTGATGTTTTCGTGACTGCAGGGATCCATACTCTTTTGTTCTTTCGGTAAAGTCACGTAGGTATAAAATAAAATGAATTAAATCACGTTTCGGGCGCAACACAAGCGTCCGTCATCAGGTGGGACAACCACAGAAAGAGACGATTGTTGAAGTGGGCAAAAAGTCTGCTTGAGTGTAAAGACTAGACTGTCCCATCTCTCGTGTATGTTAGAAATCCACGTGGTATATATAAATGGATCGTCATACGACGTCTCTCCTGTCTCATGGTGTTATTCGTGAGAAATCAGCAGGGTATCTGTAAATGAATTGCTTTTATGTCCTTCTCTTTGTGGCTATGGCTGTGTCTCTAATGATGTCCGCGTCTATAATTAATGCTAGAATAAGTGTGGTATCTGTAAATGGATCGATCACTTGACATCTACCGGTCTGCATCTCCAGTTCTGTTTCTCTAGTTATTTGAAATCCGTGTGGTATCTGTAAACGGATCTCTGTCTTTCTCTCATTAGGTCTCTTTTGTTATTAAAAGTCAATGGGATATCCTAAAGTGAATTGCTTTACATGTCTATTTCTAATTAGTTATCGATACTCAGTTTTGCCACTTCACAATAGAATAAATGTGATGTGTAAATGATTACTAAAAAAGTGTATTACGTATCTTAAATGTCAATGTAAATGTATCACTCTACATCTTTACTTACGTCTCTGCTTGTACAGTAGACCCTTGAATATCACGGGGTTACATTCTTGGAAAATGACGCAAAAGCCAAAATAATTAAGCCTTAACCTACATAATGGTTAGGCACACGGCAACCAAAAAGGCTCATCGCAATTGAAATAATTTCTGTACTGTATGACAAATAAACAAAAAACTTAATTTAAATAAACGTGTAAAAACCCTAGACTAAAAACATTCCTAAACAATACTAGGTAGAAATACTGTACTTATCAATGATCTAAGGCGGGTGTACTTTTTTCCTAGGACTGGGGAGCGAGTGTAACGGTATGAACCTGGTGACGCGAGTTTGATTCCCGCGCACACCTAACCCCCGTGACGATTATCTGAATCGGCCCTGTGCCTCCCCTAGGTCGACTCAGCCTTAAATGAGTACCTGGTGCGATGTGTAAATGTCACCAATGGGGAGACAAAGGCGGCCGGGCGTGGTACTGGCAGTTCCGGCCTTCATAGGCGCTCACGAACAGCACTTGCCCCAACAGTGTTAATAGGCGACACGGGAAGTCTGCCAGATGCGAGCACAGCAAAGGTTGAGGTGCCACTGACTGCCTCATCCACCCGAAATCACGCAACCAATGATACAGTACTTCCGTGTACAGTATACCCGTCAAAGGCCAAAACTAACCCTGGCGACAGCTACATTGGTATTTACAGGTTGCCTGCGTTAGGTTAAAACCACAAACGATAAACCGCGATATTCAAGGGTCTCCTGTATACTTGGTAGGGTATCTCTAAACGGATCATTATACACCTGAATGTTCCATCTTCCCATGGGATTGTGTGTGGGAATGCCAACGGTGTCATGATTGGCCTTTTTGGAGGAGGCTCGTGAAGGATGCTACCGTGATGCTCAAAACAACGACCAGAGTGCCAGGAGGCTAAAATACAGCAAGTTGGCACAGTAGGGGACACAGCTGGTGCCATCTGCCAGTCAACCCATGGCACCTGGGTCTGTCCCATGACCTGTTGGTGAGCCTTCAACACTTCATGGCCTTAGTGTACCTGGCCTGGCACAGGTGCTGTCACTGCCACTTAGTAGTGAATGGCAACTATTGTTGGTTGAGTTGCGGTGAGGGATGTAGACGTGGTTGTGATGGATGATGCTGTAGTTGTCTGCACACTGCAATAATAAACTGCTTTTGCAAAGTCTCCCCTTCGAGTCACTTGCTACATAACCCATGGGGGGGGGGGTGTTATGGGGTTGAGCTTACCAGGAGCTGCTCACTCAGGGCAGGGAGTGTGGAACAAAAAGGGGGCAAATGGGTTGGTGGGTGTGAGTGCATGGGTGCATTGGTTCAAGCAGCTGGTTGCTGATACTGAAGCTGGTGCAGAGTTTGCTTGTCTTTGCTAATTGGATTCACACTACCAGATAGCATTGCGCACAGCTGACAGAATGAGTCAAAATATAATTTTATTAATTTGTCAAACATCCTGTACACAAGTTAGTGTTAGGTCACCAGAGTTTACCCAGATGCTTGAGTTGGTGGAAGCTGTCCGTGTGTGGGTCTAGCCTCAGGCCATCCCCAGTGGCAGCTGTGCGTATCTGGACTCGACCCACGCACATCTGCCACTGAGGGTGCCCCTGCGCTCGACCCACACACGGACATCTGCCACTGAGGGTGCCCCTGGACTAGACCCACACACGGACAACTGCCACTGGGGGTGCCGCTAGGCAATAGATACACGTACAGTGCAAAAGAAGTTCAACATACAGCAGGCGCAATCATCCACCACCCCCACCCTCTTGTCTGATGAAGTTGAGGTCTTTGTAGTCTGCGAAGAGGTGAGTCCTCGCTTCGTCTCATACTATCCTACTCAGGTATGTTGTTTTAGCCACCGACCTCCACCAACTCCACCTCACTGATGTAACTGGCCACTGCATGACCAAGTTGAGTGTCTGATGAGGTGATTCTTCAAGTGAGTGACGAGGCGAGTGTCTCCTGACCTCATCTCACACCACCCTCCCCAGGTATGTTGTTTTAGCGGCCCACCTCCACCCACCACCTTGCTGCTGCTGTATCTGAGGCCACTGAACGACGAGGTGGTCGACGAGACGGCGCGAGAGTCGCGCGGAGAGGGAGAGTGAGTGCACCCGGCACACGCTCTCCAGGAATACCAGGCGGGGGCGCCAGCGCGTGGCACTACTACCACCATCGCCACCAGGAGGAGGAGGTCCATAGAGGAGATGGAGTGGAAGGCGGATGAGGCTGAAGATCCAGGCTGCAAGCAGAATGGGTAGACAGGTGCCTGGACCATTGCACAGAACCTGGGGGAGGGGGGGGGGGTGGTTGAGAGGGTGGTTGAGAGGGTGGTTGAGAGGGTGGGTGGGTGGGTGGTGAGGATGCCTCACCAGCTGAGGGGGTTGTGACACGGTGAGCAGAATCCACAATGCTTGCACCGTGGCCACCGCCGCCTTGAGTAGTGAGCGGCCCAGCGGCTCTGCCACCTCACGGCAGCGCAGCACCTCCTCTACCCGCACCTAGTGGCACACCAATCATCCAATGTCATTGATGCAATCTCATAGAATCCATGCAATCTCATATACTCCATGCAATACAATGCAATCTATGCAATCCCATGTAATGCAATCCATGCAATCTCATGAAATTTCAATATATGCAATCCATACGATACCATGCAATATACAATGTGTACAGTAATCCCATGCAATACAATGCAATCCATTTAATGTAATCCATGCAATTCCATGCAATACAATGTAATTCCATGGAATGTAATCCATGCAATCTCATACAATCTAAGTAATCCCATGGAATCCATACAATACCATGCAATTTCATATAATCCAATGCAATGCAATCTCATACAATTCATGCAATACCTTGCGATCCTTGCAATCTCATAAAATGTAGGCAATCCAATGCAAAACAATCCATGCAATCTCATACAATCTATGCAATCCATACAATACCTCCCCCACCGTGTCTCACCTCCCCCCCCCGAGCTCCCCACGTCTCCTCGTGGGCCAAAATCTTGGCGCGACTCAGGGGGTCGGAGCCCCCCATGAGATAAAGACGCGGGGAGTAGCGGGGCGCGGGGAGCGCAGAGAGGGCGCGAAGCATCTCCGTCGTGTGGCCCCCTGGGGGGGCACAGGGGGGAGTGAGACGAGTAAAGGGTGTGGGGAGACGGGGAGGGAGACGCGGGGAAAAACGCGGGGGGGGAGGAAACGCGGGGGGGGGACGCGGGGGGGGAGGAAACGCGGGGGGGGGACGCGGGGGGGGAACGCGGGGGAGGGGAAACGCGGGGGGGGGGGGAAACGCGGGGGGGGGGGAAACGCGGGGGGGGGGGAAACGCGGGGGGGGGGGGAAACGCGGGGGGGGGGGGGGGGAACGCGGGGGGGGGGGGGAACGCGGGGGGGGGGGAACGCGGGGGGGGGGGGAACGCGGGGGGGGGGGGGAACGCGGGGGGGGGGGGAACGCGGGGGGGGGGGGGGACGCGGGGGGGGGGGGAAACGCGGGGGGGGGGGGGACGCGGGGGGGGGGACGCGGGGGGGGGGGGACGCGGGGGGGAGGGACGCGGGGGGGAGGGACGCGGGGGGGGACGCGGGGGGGGACGCGGCGGGGGGGGGGGACGCGGCGGGGGGGGGGGGGGACGCGGGGGGCGGGGGGGACGCGGGGAGGGGGGGGACGCGGGGAGGGGGGGGGACGCGGGGGGACGACGACGACGCGGGGGGACGACGACGACGCGGGGAGGGGGACGCGGGGGGAGCGCGGGGGACGACGACGACGACGCGGGGGTGGGGGAACGCGGGGAGGGGCGCGGGGGAGGGGATGCAGGGGGGAGGGGATGCAGGGGGGGGGGGATGCAGGGGGAGGGGATGCAGGGGGGGGGGACGCGGCGGGGGGGGGGGATAAAAGAGACACGGGGAGAGGGATACACGGCTGATGTTGTTGATGTTGTGGCGTTATGTTCCAGTCAGTGATGATGTTCATCGATGTTGTTGCGATGTCGTTACGTCCACGCTAGCGAGTGTCACCCTCGGTCATACTGTACGTGCAGTGTGATGTACGTCACACACAGTGCGCGATGTGTACAGTGCGAGTAGGTGTACAGTACGAGTAGGTGTACAGTACGATTAGGTGCACAGTACGAGTAGGTGTACAGTACGAGTAGGTGTACAGTACGATTAGGTGCACAGTACGAGTAGGTGTACAGTACGAGTAGGTGTACAGTACGATTAGGTGCACAGTACGAGTAGGTGTACAGTGTGGCTCGCCTCACCGGACCCCGCCACCACCAGGAGGCTCACGGGGAGCCGAGCAGCAGCAGCAGGAGACGTCTCCCTCATGATCCTCCTCGAGACGAGGATGAAGAAGAGGATGAGGAGGGGGAGGGAGACGAGGAGGAGATTCGAGCGACTCGCCTCCTCCATGGTAGCCCGGGAGACCACGTGGGCGGAAGAGGGGCTGGGTCACGTGATGCGCTCTCGATCGCATTATATTGTACTAGCAGAAGTACCCGGCTTTGCCCGGGTGAAAAATATATATTTTAAAAACCTTACATATATATACACAGATACTAAGGTATTGTCTCCCCCCCCCTCAAAAAATATCTTTACCCCTCGTAGGTATATATATACTAACAACACCTTACATACAACAGAGGAAGTGGTATCTATTGACTCTGTAGTAGTATCTACTGACTGTACCGTAGTATCTACTGAGCCAGTAGTAGCTACTGACTGTGTAGTAGTATTTAGTGACTGTAATAACTACTGACCATAATAGTATTTACTGGGCCTACAGTAGTATCTACCGACTATATACTCGTAACGACTAACTGTATAGTATCTGCTGACTCTATAGTTGTATCCACTGACTATAGTAGTAACTACAAAATCTATAGCAGTATCTACTCACTCTATAATAGTATCTACTGACTCTAGTAGCTACTCACCGTAGCAGTATGTACTGACTGTATAGTAGTATATACTGACTGTAGCAGTATTGACTGACTGTAGTGGTATATACTGACTGTTTTAGTATTTACTATAGCGGTATCTACCAACTCGATAGCAGTATCTATTATCACTACATCAGTGTATACCGACTGAGGTCGTACCTGCTATCACTACAGCAGTGCATACTGCTGTGTTGGTACCTGCTATGATTACAGCAGTGCATACTGCTGTGTTGGTACCTGCTATGATTACAGCAGTGCATACTGCTGTGTTGGTACCTGCTATGATTACAGCAGTGCATACTGCTGTGGTGGTATCTGCTATGATGAGAGGAGTACATATTGTGGTGGTGGTACCTGGTATGATAACAGCAGTGCATATTGACTGTACTCATCATTCACCCTCACCATTCACCACTCACAACTCACCCTTACCACTCATCCTCACCACTCCCACTCACTATTCACCATTCACCCTCACAACTCACCACTCACCAACCTCCCTCACCAATCTCCCTCACCACTCACCCTCACCACTAACCCTCACCACTCTCCCTCACCACTCTCCCTCACCACTCACCACTCTCACCATTCACCCTCACCATTCAGCCTCACCACTCACCCTCACCACTCACCGTCACAACCACCACTCACCCTCACCACACAACCTCACCCTCGCTACTCACCATTCATCCTCACCAATCACCACTGACCAATCACCACTCACCACTCTCCACTAACCCTCACCACTCAACCTCACCACTCACCCTCAAAACTAACCACTCTCTCACCACTCACCCTCACCACTCACCCTCACCCTCACCACTCACGCTCACCACTCACCCCTCACCACTCACCCATCACCACTCACAACCGCCACTCACCCTCACCACTCACCCTCACCACTCACCCTCACCACTCACCCTCACAACAACCACTCACCCTCACCACTCACCACTCACCCTGACCACTCACCACTCATCCTCACCAATCACACCCTCACCAATCACCACTCACCCGCACTGCTCACCCTCACCACTCACCACTCACGCTCACCAGTCGCCCCTCACTAATCACCACTCATAACCGCCACTCACCCTCACCACTCAACACTCACCCTCACCACTCACCCTCACCACTCACCCTCACTACTCACCACTCATCCTCACCAATCACACCCTCAACAATCACCCCTCACCACTCACGCTCACCACTCACCCTCACCACTCACCCTCACCACTCACTCTCACCACTCACCACTCACCCTCACCACTCACCCTCACTACTCACCTCACCACTCACCACTCATCCTCACCAATCACACCCTCACCAATTACCACTCACCCTCACTGCTCACCCTCACCGCTCACCACTCACCCTCACCACTCAACCTCACCCTCACCCCTCACTAATCACCACTCACAACCGCCACTCACCCTCCCCACTCACCCTCACTACTCACCACTCATACTCACCAATCACACCCTCACCAATCACCCCTCACCCTCACCACTTGCCACTCACCCTCACCACTCACCCTCACCATTCACCCTCACCACTCTCCCTCACCACTCACCAGTCATGCTCACCACTCACCATCACTACTCACCCTCAACACTCACCCTCACCGCTCACCACTCACCCTCACTACTCACCCTCACCACTCATCCTCACCAATCACACCCTCACCAATTACCACTCACCCTCACTGCTCACCCTCACCACTCAACCTCCCCTCACCACTCAACCTCACCCTCACCCCTCACTAATCACCACTCACAACCGCCACTCACCCTTACTACTCACCACTCATCCTCACCAATCACACCCTCACCAATCACCCCTCACCACTTGCCACTCACCCTCACCACTCACCACTCACCCTCACCATTCACCCTCACTGCTCACCCTCACCACTCTCCCTCACCACTCACCAGTCATGCTCACCACTCACCATCACTACTCACCACTCACCCTCAACACTCACCCTCACCGCTCACCACTCACCCTCACTACTCACCTCACCACTCATCCTCACCAATCACACCCTCACCAATTACCACTCACCCTCACTGCTCACCCTCACCGCTCACCACTCACCCTCACCACTCAACCTCACCCTCACCCCTCACTAATCACCACTCACAACCGCCACTCACCCTCCCCACTCACCCTCCCCACTCACCCTCACTACTCACCACTCATCCTCACCAATCACACCCTCAACAATCACCACTCACCCTCACCACTTGCCACTCACCCTCACCACTCACCACTCACCCTCACCATTCACCCTCACCACTCTCCCTCACCACTCACCAGTCATGCTCACCACTCACCATCACTACTCACCACTCACCCTCAACACTCACCCTCACCACTTGCCACTCACCCTCACCACTCACCACTCACCCTCACCATTCACCCTCACCACTCTCCCTCATCACTCTCCCTCACCACTCACCAGTCATGCTCACCACTCACCATCACTACTCACCACTCACCCTCAACACTCACCCTCACCGCTCACCACTCACCCTCACTACTCACACTCACCACTCACCACTCATCCTCACCAATCACACCCTCACCAATTACCACTCACCCTCACTGCTCACCCTCACCGCTCACCACTCACCCTCACCACTCAACCTCCCCTCACCACTCAACCTCACCCTCACCCCTCACTAATCACCACTCACAACCGCCACTCACCCTCCCCACTCACCCTCACTACTCACCACTCATCCTCACCAATCACACCCTCACCAATCACCACTCACCCTCACCACTTGCCACTCACCCTCACCACTCACCCTCACCATTCACCCTCACCACTCTCCCTCACCACTCTCCCTCACCACTCACCAGTCATGCTCACCACTCACCATCACTACTCACCACTCACCCTCACCACTCACCCTCACCACTCACCCTGACCACTCATCCTCACCAATCACACCCTCACCAATCACCACTCACCATCACTGCTCACCCTCACTGCTCACCCTCACCACTCACTCTCACCACTCACCCTCACAACAACCACTCACCCTCACCACTCACCCTCACTACTCACCTCACCACTCACCACTCATCCTCACCAATCACACCCTCACCACTCACCACTCACTCTCACTACTCACCATCACCACTCACCCTCACCACTCACCCTCACCATTCACCACTCACGCTCACCACTCACCCTCACCACTCACCCTCACCACCACCAATCACCCCTCACCACCAACCCTCACCACTCACCCTCACCACTCACCCTCACCGCTAACCTGCTATGATTACAGCAGTGCATCCTGACTGTGGTGGTAGATACTATGATTACAGCAGTGCATACTGACTGTGGTGGTACATACTATGATTACAGCAGTGTTTACTGCTGTCGTGGTACCTATGATTACAGCAGTGCATACTGCTGTGGTGGTACCTGCTATGATTACAGCAGTGCATGTTGTGGTGGTAACTGCTATGATGAGAGGAGTACATTTTGTGGTGGTGGAACCTGCTATGATGACAGCAGTACATACCGAGTGTGGTGGTACCTGCGATGATGACATCAGTACATACTGTGGTGGTGGTGGTGGTACCTGCTCTGATGAGAGCAGTACATACTGTGGTGGTGGTACCTGCTATGATTACAGCAGTGCATATTGACTACTCACCACTCACCCTCACCATTCACCACTCACAGCTCACCCTCGCCACTCATCCTCACCACTCACACTCGCCACTCACTACTCACCACTTACCCTCACCATCCACCCTCACAACTCACCACTCACCAATCTCCCTCACCACTCACTCTCACCACTCACCCTCACCACTCACCCTCACCACTCACCAATCACCACTCACCCTCACCACTCACCCTCACCACTCACCCTCACCACTAACCCTCACCACTCTCCCTCACCACTCATTCTCACCTTTCAACTCACCACTCAGCCTCACGACTCACCCTCACCACTCACCCTCACCACTCATCCTAACCAATCACCACTCACCACTCACCCTCACCACTCTCCACTTACCCTTACCACTCAACCTCACCACTCACCCTCACCACTCATCACTCACCCTCACCATTCACCCTCACCATTCAGCCTCACCACTCACCCTCACCACTCACCACTCACGCTCACCACTCACCCTCACCACTCACCCTCCCCACTCACTAATCACCACTCACAACCGCAACTCACCCTCACCACTCACCCTCACCACTCACCCTCACCATTCACCACTCACGCTCACCACTCACCCTCACCACTCACCCTCACCACTCACCCTCACCATTCACTACTCATGCTCACCACTCACCCTCACCACTCACCCTCACCACCACCAATCACCCCTCACCACCAACCCTCACCACTCACCCTCACCACTCACCCTCACCACTAACCTGCTATGATTACAGCAGTGCATCCTGACTGGTGGTAGATACTATGATTACAGCAGTGCATACTGACTGTGGTGGTACATACTATGAT